GATGCATATATTCAATATATCGAATATAAACAAGTTTAATGTGTCTAATATTATATTTCGTTTTGTAATCGTCGAGAATTTTTTATTGATGATGATGGCCATAAAGGATATAATGATTGTAAACGATTTTCTATACGATATGCAACATTAATTAAATAAAATGAATGAATTATTAAAATTATAATAAATATTAAAAGTATTAATGATGTTTTAATTGGATAAGTTTTAAATCGATTAAATAATAATAATAAATATTCCATAATAAGTTTTATAATAGATATAATAGATAAAATAATTATACGAATATATTTTCCTATTAATCCATTATTATTAGAATTTATTATCAAAGAATCAGTATTTGTTATTGAACTTGTTGAAGAATTTGAACTTTGAATATTTGATGATGTACGATTTGATGGTGATAATGTTCGATCACGACTACGACTTCGATTAGTTCGTAATGGAATACTACGTGGTTGACGAAATATTATGGGAGCACTACCTAAATAATAAAAAAAATAAATACTTTAATACATTAAAAGAAATTTGATTCTAGAGAAATTATTGAAAATGTTTTTAGAGGAGTATGGCTTAAAAACATAGACTAATAATAAGTGAATCTTATATCTGTACTGATCATTTTAGTAAAAAAAAATAATTTAATAAATAAATGACGGCGTCAAAGTCAAAATAGTGAAAAACTTCAAATAGATCTATCGCTAGTACTATGATCTTTTTCAGTGTTCTGATCCTACCATCATCGCTAATCTGTTAAATTAATTTTTTTTTACGAAAATGATCCGTGCAGATAGCTCTATAAAATTTAATAGACGAATAAATTTTTCGAGAATCTTTGATTTTTATATCTAACTACTAAATCCGATTGGGTCTGCGTCTAAAATTTTGTACCTAACGAGCTCTACATTGACTATACACATAACACTATAGTGTGATCTACTGGTGGATTACATTATCATGAATGTGTTAAACATGTAAAAAATTTTATTCAACAAGCGTTTTTTTATAGTATTTCTAATAATGACATAGTTACAATATTTGCCTTGAGTAATATTCATCATCTAGAAATTGGAAATTCAAGAACAATTACAGTGGCATTCTACTATGAGGAAGTTAGAAACACTGTCATACAAACAAAATCCAACTAGTGAGGATTAAAAAGATTGACATATACAATTTGAATGTGAATGCTTAAAACATGAAATTTCTTTTGATTACTTTAAGATTGATGAAACTTTATGAAAACAGTCAGTTTTATCAAAAAAATTCATGGAAAAGATCCTTTGAAACTGATTCTCTCAAACCTATGTCTTAATATCAATCAACATTTTCTTTTTGGATAAGCTTTATCCTTATTAAGATTTATAAAGGGTTAGAAAAAAAAAAGAGAGAGTAATGTGATATCCTTCAGTAAATTCGTCAGATAGTTTACATTAAAAAAAAAAACTCAATTAGACATATCTATAAAGATATGTAAATATTGCAAACTATATTTATAAATTTGAATATAGACTTTTCATTTTTCTAATATCTTAATGCAATTAAATATGATTAAATTAGTCTCGTTCTCTTATATATTAGTACTTGATTGAAAGAAATTTAATTTAACTTCAATACAATTTTATATCGAAGAATCATTCATTTTGATTCGAGAGTTATTATCCGACTCAATTCATCTCATCTTTCAAGTGCAAAACCATGGAATGCATCCAATTATACCTCACTGAACTCATCTCCATACTCAAATGATACTATAAATAGATTTTTAATTTTAATAAGAAAACTGATGTGTAAGTCACAATTCTATCTTATCACTAACAGTAAATCATAATAACATTAAAAGAAAAAATAGTTTAAAGGATTCGTTATTATAAGTCTTTTTATATGATATGAATAATAATGACACGAAGACTCATGAGACAAAATAGGGATCATATTGAAAAATAAAATTATAGATTAAGACACTTTTTGAATTTATGTTAATCTTATAAAGATTTTGCTATATAATTGAATAATAATTTTATATAATGAATTTCTTACTTAATATTGTATCAATTTCTTTTCCTTGATTATTATTATTATTATTATGGCTAGATGAATTTCTATTGAATTCATTATTATCAGAAATATTTTCATTGAAATTTTTTCTTAATTGTGGATTTGTATTTGAATATTTAAATGATTTATTTTTATCAGAATTAAATAATTTTTTTGTTGGTTTTAATTGTTGTTTAATATCAAAATTTTTCGATAATATAAATTGTTGTCGTTGTTTATTATTATTATTATTATTATTTGGTGATAAACACATTTGTAAAACTTCATCTGGTTCTGGTTCATCGATCATATCATAAGATATATCATGTTTTGTTTTTTTAATTTTTTCATTATAACTATGATTACTATTTAAAGCTTTTAATGTACCACCTTGTGTTGAACGATTATCATCATCATCTTGTAATGAATTTGTATCATTATTAAAACGTGAACACATATAAATAATTTTATCAAATGCTTGATCACGTTGTAGAAATGATGCATAAATAATTTTTTTTCCTGAATGTTTTAATTGTATACCAATAGCTGTTGGAAATATGAATGCGACACGTTCTTTTGTAATATTTGCAATTTGTTCCCAACGATAAACATGTTTTGTTATATAAGATATAATACGTGAATGAAAACAAAGATAACGATCAGTTATATACATTTTACCTTGTAATAATATATCACCTAAAAAAATTTATTTAATAAAAAAAAAAGTTTATTTTTATATTTTGAAAAAATTTTTTCTTCTTATCTTACCTTGATATGCACAAACATAAGAATCAATTAATTCTGGCATATCATCAGGTATTTCAGATTTAAATAATTTATAAAAATGTTTTACACGTCGTGATAATTGTTCTTGTGAATTAGTATCATTTTTTTGTTGATCACTATCACGTCGTGATAATGATTGTTGTTGTATTTGTAGTGAAACATTATTTGATTCTAATAAATTATTATTATCAATATATCGTTCTTCTTGTTCACTGTCTAATTCACTATCAGTTGTTGTTGATGATATTGTTGCATTTGAATTTACTTGTGATGACATTTGTTTTTCAATCGATATTACATTTTTAGCACCAGCACTATCAATTGATGATGAAGATGAATTTGCATTAATAATATTATTTATTGGAATATTTTGTTGATTCGATGAACGTAATGAAAGTGATTCTTTGTTTGATAAAATACTTTTAGATCCATTTATACTTGTTTCATCAGATACACCATTCGATGAAATTATCATTGAGACAGGTCGACTACTGGCCATTTCAACGATATCTATAATAAAAAAAACAATAAATAAATCAAGTTTTCTTTATATATATATATTTTTTTATCAAGACATTCGAATAATATTTATCGAATAAAAGTTGGCAAATTTTCTTTATATGCATTTCTTTTCGCACGCCTACTTTGTTTCTCGTGTGTAATTGCATATAAACGCATACACAATACATAAATTCTAGATGATCAAGCTTTGTATGTAAAAAACAAATATACTTCCTTTTTTCTATCGTTCAGAGAAAATACACTTTTTAATGCAAGTTGAATATAATATGAAGTGGAAAATTTTATGCGGAAAAAAGTCAAAGAAATAATTAAGAAAATGGATGTACGACGAGGCAAAAAAGACTTTACATTATTTATATGACGAATATTTTTTGAAATCTTATTGAATCGATCTGAGAAAAAAAAGCCTCTTATACGTTCTTTTCTCCTCTGATTTTTTTTTTGTTCTTGTTTTGGCACAACTAATACCGATTCGTACTTTATTCGTTGTCATGACAACATAAACCACAATGTTAAAAACAATCATTACTTTTAAAAAGTCATTGTAATCTGAAATATTGACATCATTATAAAAATCAGTACACGTAGCACATACTTCAAAAAATTTCACTGCTTGTCATAGATACGATGGGAAAAAATATGAAAAGAACAAAACAACGAACTACTGATAATAATTATTCATTAGAAACGTGATCATCAAGACTTTCAATTGTTGTCTAATACAAACCCGTAAGCATCACACCACCAATCAGCATTAAACACCAGAGTCACCCCATACTATTCTTCTCTCTTCTTCTTCTTCTCCTGCTTCTGCTTCGACGACTCAAAGCAGTGGAAGAAGAACATGCCTTATTTGCCTCCCGTCTTCATGCCGTTCTTTCATGTATACTCGCTCGCGTGTTTTCTTTCTTTAGTAGCGCTGCGTTGCTGTAGGTCGAGCGAGCATCAGCTTAACAAAATATTCTTAGTGTAATGATCGATCGATAATAAGAACGAAAGAAAGAAAAAAAAAAAAGAAAAAACTGACTCAATGAACACTGAGCAAAGAAGCAAGATGACATCTATATATCGCTCTTCTTTTCGATTCTAATTAGTATTTCGATGATGATGCCAATGTAACGAAGGAGTAATACGAGAAGAATATTATATAATTCAATTTGTTTCCTTCTATTGAAACTATTCAACATCAACAAAAAGAAAAATCTCTCTACGCTTCTTTGTCTCCCTAGAGAATAACTAAATGATATTTTGTTAGTAATTATAAAAAAAGCTTTTTAATATTATACGACACTTTTTTTTTCAAGAGTACCATTTAGTAGTTATATATATATGGAAATAAAGAATGAAAAAAAAATGATATGTGTATGTCAAACTCAAGTTTAATAATATCGTAAAAGAATCATGTTAATATTTATTTGGTTGTTTCGTCTATTTTTAAAACAAAAAAAAAAATTTCTCACTACAAAAAACAAAATTTGGCTTTAGAATAAAAAAAAATTTTTTTTTTTATATTAAATATTTCTTTTCCAGGTAACCAAAAAAGAAGAAGAAGAAGAAGAATTTATCAACAACTAACAAAACTAAAAAAGAATGATTATTCTTACTCGTCAGTTGAGTGATATGGAACGAGAATGGGCCGATAATGGCAAGAGATGATAGAAAAAGAATCGAACGATGTTATTCAGCGCGTTTGACTGGTTGTTTAGTTGCTTTATTCGTAGACTGAATCGGTATAAGAAAACAAATAATAGTCGCTTATTGTAGTTATTAATAGTAAATTCAATATAGTTAATGATATTATTCAAAGTTGAATGCATCTATATATAAAGATAAAAAAAAAAAATGAAATGAAAAATGAGTAAGTTCACGTAATACAAAGAAAAAGAGGAAAAAAAAAGTCAAACAATAGATGATGATAAATAAACGAGATTGTTAAGTTAAACATATCAACGTTATGTAAATGTTCATCTGTCACCGATAGTGTGACAAAAGAATGAACGAACAAGATAAAATAGCAAAGATTCATTTGTCAAATAAACCTATAGATTTTAATGTACATAAAAAATAGATGTCGTTCAATTGTTGATAAAAGTTCTTTTTTTGTACTTATTCTATCAAAATGACATACTTCAATTATACGATAAGTATCATATGACTCTATGCTAACATATTTCTCTTTCATGCTGATATAAAATTGAAATAAAAAAAATAAAATCCATACTCAGTTGTATGCAACATCATACTGAGTTTTAAAATAAATCATAAGGATTTTATTTTTAAAAGTAATTAAGTTGAGTATGTCTCGAAAGTATGCATAAGTCTCATAGTTATTTTTACATACTGATGTTATTTTGACCTATAATAAAATGAAGTAAAATAATATATAAATCATATTAAATTATCCTAATTTATATCGATTGAATGACGTCAGAAGCTGGAAAAAAAATATCCCATAAAATAAACATTTTGTGATTTATTTTTATTTTTAACAATTATTTATAATGAAAACTTTTAGTTACTATTGATGATGACTTGCATGCCCACAAATTCTAGCAATCAGCAGTGAAACAATATTATGTACAAATAATGCTGTGCGTTAACAAATGAGAAAATAAATTAAATATCTTAATAGTTTATCTCGGAAATAGATTGTTAGTAGAAATAAAATGATATAAGCTGAAAATGATAAAATATGAATCCAGTCACATTGTAGATTGTTTATAAAATACACTAGATCAGTTTGTTTGGTTTTTTTCAAAAGAATTTTTCTATTATTTTGATAAATTACGATATCTTACTCAATAATGATGATTTATTTTATTGATCCAATGCAAGTAAACAAATACGTAGTGTCTAAGAAATTATAGTTGATATTACTATAAACTGATCCTGTTTGAAGATTATTTAATTTTTATATTTGATTAAGTTTTCTATAATCTATCTATTATTCATTCAATCAATAACATCAGGAAGAAAGCATGACACTAAAGTTATCAAGATGATGATTACAGATTCCATTAATGGATAAAATCATACATTGCTGTTTTATATAATTTACGGTTGGTTGACGATCTGGTTCATTCGAGCCGGCGAAAGACTTCGAGCTAATTTCAAAACTTTAAAATATAATATAAAATGAATACGCTTTTTTTCCATAGAGTTAATGAAACGAAGACTTCGATATTTAGTTGAAGGAGTTTTCGATCTTATACAGATAATGAATAGCTTCTTCTTTCCATTTGAGCTTCAAAATATATAAGACATATTAAAATAAAATCGAGCTTGTTTCTTGTGAAAACCTGACGAATTCTATGAAATTCATATATATTACATATAACATTGTAAATTAGTGGACTCTGTCATATCTATAATGACGAGGATTGATATGATTGGTTGCCGCTTTACAATGGTTTTTTTCTCGTCATCTTAGAGGAAGGTATGTCTGGATCTATCTGTACATGAGATCTTGTTAATATCAGCTATAGATAGACCAAAAATATATGAACGAGATGATCTAGAACTCATTATTTATAACTATTTATTTTAGAACAATATGGGTGGTCCAAGCGAAACTCCACAAAAACGTGCAGCAACGACTAAAGATGTTTTACTCGATTTTCTTGCTGGTGGAACAGGTTTGTTTTACTTTTTACTTTTATTTAATGAACATAGTTTTCATTTCTATTTTTTTTTCAGCTGTATGTATAACGTCATTCTTCATTTAACATCTGTGAAATTTCCATATCGATTGATTTTTGTTTTAGGGAGCTGTTTCAAAAACAGCTGTAGCACCACTTGAACGTGTAAAACTTCTTTTACAAACACAAGATGTTAATCAAAAAATTGTACAAGGACAAAAATACAAAGGATTTGGTGATTGTCTTGTTCGATGTATTCGAGAAGAAGGGACTATTTCTCTTTGGCGTGGTAATTGGGCAAATGTTATTCGTTATTTTCCAACAGTAATTTGATTTTTATTTTTTTTTATAAGAGTTTAATTAAGTTATATTATTATTATTATTATTGTGGTTGTTCTTTTTTCATTTAAAAAGCAAGCATTAAATTTTGCATTCAAAGAACGTTATCAACGAATATTTGCTGATTATAATCCAACATTAAATCCATATAAATTTTTTTTTGGTAATCTATTTGCTGGTGGTATGGCTGGTGCAACAGGTTTATTATTTGTTTATCCACTTGATTTTGCTCGAACACGTCTTGGTGTTGATATTGGAAAATCACTTAATGAACGACAATTTAAAGGCATGAACGATTGTCTTGTTAAAATTTATAAAACTGATGGTATTCAAGGTAGATTGATTTTGAAAATACAAAAAAAAAAAAAAGTTTTTTTAATTTAAACAAATGTTCTATTATATTCTTAGGTCTCTATCGAGGTTTTGCTATTAGTGTTGCTGGTATATTTGTCTATCGAGCATTTTATTTTGGTGGTTATGATGCTGGTAAGATAGTTTAAGGGTAGTCCTTCTCTTTTGAACTATTTCTAGTTCTCCACAAGAGTATAATCGATCGGACTTAAATTTTTTCCACAGTCAGATTAGAGAAAATAATTGAATTCATGTTCGAGGAAAAAATTTAAAAAGCTTGTCCAATGGTTTTTTGAAGATTCTTTCAAAAACCCATGAATACCTGCTCCTAAACTGTTTTCTTCGAGTATAGATCCCATCATTTTTGATGATCTAGGTGTAATAAAAATTTGAGTTCGATCGATTGTATTCTTGCGGAGAACCAGAAGCACTTCAACAGAGGGTTGCCTGTAATTGAAATGAAAAATTTATTATTTTCAAGGAAAAAGATTTATGTTTGGTGATAATCCAAATCCGAGTATACTTTATCGTTTTCTTTTTGCACAATTTATTACATCATCATCGGAATTTCTTGCTTATCCACTTGATACAATTCGACGGTAGGCTAAATAAAAACAAAAAAAAAGAAATTAGTTTCAAAAATCTTGCATTAATACATTCATTTATAGTCGTTTGATGATGCAAAGTGGCCGTGGTGATATTATTTATCGAGGAACAATGGATTGTGCACGAAAGATTGCTGTTACTGAAGGTCTAACAGCTTTTTTCAAAGGCAATTTATCAAATATTTATCGTAGTGTCGGTTCATCACTTGTTCTTGTTCTCTATGATGAATTCAAACGATGGATTCTCCTTGCTGATCAAGCATCCTATGCTAAATAGTTAATTTCTTATTAGAAAAATAAAACTTCAAAATACTGTTCTAGATCTGAATATTTCTTATGTTTACTTATATTTTTGATCTAAACATTTCTTTTCGTTTCGTTTTTTTTTTCTTCTAATTTTCTTATCTTTTTGTAGTCATGACAATGACTTCACACTTTTAAATATTCTTTTGGGTATAATAGATATTTGAAAAAAAAAAGCCAAATAACTAACAATGTAAAGTAATACATTCTTCTTTTTTTGTCTATTATATATATATATACCTTTTTTTTTTGTTTATATTCTAGAATAAAGATTTTTTTATTTTTGTTATAGATGACTACTCCCAGTCAACAATTAGTTGATTTTGATTGGAAATTTGCTATTAATGTAGCAAATAGTAAAACTGATGATAACAATGGTGCAGCTCGACTTTATTTAAAATTAACAACAATGTCAAATAATGGTACAAATCGTACAGATATTCCATTAAGTGTTACATTAGAACAATTTTATGCTCTTGTTCATCAACTTGAAAAAGCTAAACTTGAAATGGATGTTTATGGTTAAATTCAAATAAATTTTATTTTATTTTATTTATAATATTTTTGTTCGTTTTTTTCTTTTTCTTTTCTTTTCTTTTCTTTTTTTTTTATCTATTTATTTGCAACGAACATACCTTTTTTTTTTTTGTTTCTGTTACAATTGCATCACATAAGAGACAGAGAAAGAATAAGAACGAGAACAAAAAAGAAACATAAAATAATAAACAAAGATAGAAGGAAGAAAAAGAAGAAGAAGCAATGTCTCACTGTGGCATTTTAAATTTAAAATATTTCAATACAAAAATGTCTAAGCATGTCCACGTTGTACAAAATCATTTAATTTATTACACGATGGTGTACCTTGCTTTTGTGCTTCACGATATAATCCATTATCATTCATCATTCGTGCACGCCAGAGCATTGATTCTTTATATTGTTGTTCACGATAACATTGATGTCGTAAATCAGATGCATATTCATCAACAACTGATGATTCAAATTTATCCAATTCAGCATCAGTTTTTGGTGGATGAAAATCTTGTTTAACAAAATATTCAATTCTTGATAAACGAGTCATACGTGCATTATTATATTTTCTATTAAATATATAAACATATAAATTATATATATATATATATTTATTTAAAATAGAGAAATGAATATACCCAGTTCGATGTAATTGAAATTGAGGTTCACTTACTAAAAATGTACCAATAATTGAAATAAGAAATAGAAATAAATAAGGCAATAATTGTGCAAGTGTATGTGTAGTCTACAAATATGATAAATTAAAAAGAGAATTTAAATAATTCAATAAACAAACATTTTGTGTAGTATTATGTGTTGAATGTGTAGTAAATTGAAATGGATGTTGTTGACGACGTCGATATGTACGAGATGTTGGTCCTGAATATATTAAATAAAATTAATCTAAGATTTCACATTAACTGATTTAAATAGAATCTAATAATCAGTCCATACAACATGAATGTAATAAGATTGGAACTCAAATAAAGTTGAGTCTTACTCATGTCTAAACTGAAGGTATATAGAAGTTTAAAAATTATAAGTGGAGTACTGTCCTGCATGGGTACAATTTTTAAACCTTTACTTTATGTGAAAAAGTATATTATTTAGTTTTTTCCATAAACAGCAATAATAAAAAGAAGAGTTCATCTCAAATTCTACAAAAGAACAAGTGATTTAGGATTCACTTGATGTCCTTCTGCTTGTAAAACTTGATCAAGTTCGCTAAGTATATGTATTTGTTTGTTGCTGATAACGCTAGAATGAAACCCAGTATTGATGTCAAACGTCATATTTATGAATACATGCATGAATGCTTTCTCCGTCATGATGATATATATTGATCTTTTTGATAATTTATTTTTCTCTCTATGTATTCAATTACTTCATCATATGTCGATAAATTTTCACTAAAAACGAATTCTCTTAGTAAAACAATATCACTTTCCACATCTGTGATCTGTCCTCAAGCGTAATAAATTACTCAACCATGACGAAACCGGTTTTCTTTCCTATGCTTTTATATATATATATAGTAGTTTGGCAAAGTAAAAAAAATTTTGATACATTCCGATCTCATGTATTGCTCGGTATGATCTCAAGTCCGGATCCCATGAGTTTCCATCTGGATCGAGCTGAATGCGTCGATCCAGTTGCAAGATACTAAATTGAAGTTATTTATAAATTCATATAAATTGAAAGGCATAATTTTAGCTTTCTTTTCTCTCTACGTTTTAAAATAAATCATACCCGAATATCCAAAGAAAAGATTGAAAAGTTCTTCCGCTGAAAAATCATCATCATCTTCATAATAATAATAATGTTGTGAAGTACGTCCACCACGATGATATTGTGGTTCCATAGCTTGACCATATTGATCGTATTGTTCACGTTTTTTAGGATCGCTCAAAATTGAAAAAGCTTTACCAATAGCTATTTAGAAAGAAAAAAACAAACAAACAAAATAATTATAATAAAAGAGAAAGAATAATTTAAATTTATCAAGATAGATAACCTTTAAAAGCATCTGTAGCACCAGGTGCTTTACATTTGTCTGGATGAAACTAAATATAAAATAAAATAGAATCTTTTCTTTTCTTTTTTTTTTGTTTTATTATTCTTACTTGAAGAGCTAATTTACGATAAGCTTTCTTTAGATCTGCTTCAGTTGCTGATTTACTAACACCGAGAATTTCATATAAATCTTTGCATGTTTTAATTCTAATATTTAAAATAACATATAAAACAAAAAATAGAACAACAATCTTTATATGTACTTACTTCCGTACAGCTTGTGCTTCTTCAGGAGTATAATCACTGGATGATGTTGACTGTGTTGTTGTTCGATGTCTTGTATTTGATGATGGCCCATTTGTTGTTTCTTGTTCATTATGTGGAGATGTTGATGTAGATTCATAAGTTTTATTATTACTGGTTGATGATGTCGAATGAGAATTAACATGCATTAGTCGTTCCATGAGATCTATTGATAAAATAGAAATTAATTTATAAATTAATGAAAAACAAAAACAAAAGACTAACCTTTGGCTTTTTGTGTAGGAAAAAGATTTTCAGATTTTGTAAGATATCGTAAAGCTCGTTCATTATCATTAGCAAGTATTGCTTGTTCAGCAAGTTCAATATAATGAAGTGCAGAATCTTTGTTTGCTTCCATTGATTAGACAATACAATAATCCAAATTAGAAGTAATACAAATATTTTTAAATAAATACGAAAATTAAACGAAATAGATGAATGTAACAAATGAAGGCATTGCAAATGAGTTAATAATATACAAACAAACAAAAAAAGAAAAGAAAAACAAAATAAGACAAGCAATCCGTTTAAAGGTTTATCGAGGCCGGATTTGATATATGAAGTTACAGATACTTGATCTATCAAAAATAAAATAAAATACAATGCATAAATTATGAAATAATTTGAAAAAAAAACAAAAATTTAAAACAACTCAATGACTATCTAGTTGAATAAGTGTTGACATGCATATAGACATCCGTCGGGTCATCATATATTCCATTTTCCAATCACAAAGGTCTCTGTTTCTTATCCTGATTGGATAAAATATAGAACCTGTTAGATATATTTTGACATTCAGACGATGTCACTACTTAACATCAAGAAACCATATCAAATATAGATATAACATTTTCCTTAACTGTTTGAAAAATAACTAAAACATATTTAAAACTATGAAATTTATAATACATTAAACAAATTCTTTTTTCATTGGTGTTTATCATTTATAAACTAAAAAAAAAAAAATTAAATTATATAATGAAGCCATGTCAAAACATAATTGAATTCATAACAATCCAATACATAATTATTCTATGATAAAAAAACAATCTCGATGGGTAGCAAATCTAGCACTTCGATTGCTTCTACACCTTCTTTAACTGCTGTTACTCCTACTCCTACTTCTACTACTGAAACTAATACTATAACTTCTTCTCCTCCGAATACTACTACTACTAAAACTAATACTACGACTTCTCCTCCTACGAATACTACCACTACTACTAAAACTAATACTACGATTCCTCCTTCTACGAATACTACTACTAATCCTATCACTACTATTGCGTCTGCTACGACTAATACTGTTACAACAACAACAACAGCAACTACTACGACTCCTACTCCTACTTCTGCAGTTACTTCTACCAGTTCTACTATTAAAAATACTTCAACTACTCCTGTATCTACTGAAAGTTTGTATAATAATATTAGACTAAAATTGAATTTTAAATAGAAGAATAAACTATGTTAAAGGTGGTCCTAAACCAACATTCTTTTCCATTGCAAAATCATTGACCACAAATGCTGAAAATACAAAACCTCCTGCTTCATCAGCTTATGCACGATGGTATAAATGGAGTAAATATGAACAACAAAAACGAGATAAAGGCAAAGCACTTTGGTATATGAGTCCACCAGTAACAAATACTGATACACTTAGTGCAACGACAACAACATTAACGATGACAACGGCAAAAATAAATACTGAGACAAAAGAAATCAATAATGCATCAAATATTACTGTTATGCCAAGCTTTCAATTACGTTCAACGGCTATATATAGTCCACCTCATGGTGATCGTATTTTATCGGGACGTAATGAATTGATCAATACCGATGTATCAAATTTTAAATACTATATACCAGACAATCGAGCAAAACAAACAGTAAGAAATTGTTGTTTGTTTGTTTTTTGTAAAATATATTTGTGAATCTTTGAGTAAAATATTCATTTTATTAATAATTTAATAAAATAATATTCTAAAACATTATATGATGGAAATTTATCTAAACCTATTAGTATTAAATCAGGAGTATCTCAGGGATAGGCATCAGTCTGTAAATCCAGCCAAATATGACTTTAACATATACTATTCATGTGTTAAAAAAACTCATTATGAATGTATTTTTTAACTCTACACAAATAGCACAAGTCAAACAATTTAAATATCTAGAATATATACTTGATATTCGACTAAGTTTATAGACTTTTATTAAACAACAATTAATTAAAATCAAGAGGGCATTCATAATCCTGAAATACATTCACAAACAATATCCTCTGTTTTTCTTGTTAAAACACCAATTTTTCTCTGCTTTTATATGGCCATATTTTAGTTTAATCTTCAACATATATGTACTATGTTCTATTGAAACTGAAGAAAAATGCCATAAATTTTAAAGAAAGAAAATGCCTGCAGATTATATATTGTCTACAATATACGTCTAACATTGAATTATACAAAAACATCTATGTAGTATTCAAAATTATGAATAACAAATACTCAGTAATATTTATCAATATCAACTATTAAAATTAACATTATAACAACATTTTATCATACAAAAATGTATTCCACATTTACTTATTGATCGACTATGAAAGAAAATAAAGAATTTTTTTGACAAAATACTAAACAAACACTATTTGATAAACTACTTGTTTTTTGTACAAACTGATTTATTATGATTAGACTATTGTTAGTAATTTTTTTTCTAACGATTCAGCACTGTAAAGATCAAATCTGCAAATTAAGTTTTTCTTCATTCATTCATTCAAACATTATATGTTATAGGTTGGACAACATACAAGAGCGACAATGTATAAAATGAATACTCAACTAAAACAAACTCCTTTACCAACTCCATCATCATCATCATCACCACCGGCAACTACAAATTCTAATAGTAATAACAATACAACAGGAGACAATGCAATAGTACCTACATTTGTCTCTCGTGGTTTACAGACTGATCTTGAAGTACAACCAATTAATCCATCTTCTACACAAATGCTCTATTATGAAAAACAACAACCTCAAGTAAATACATTCTATATTCTATTTAATTCTTTATTTATTCTCTTTTCTTTTTTTTTTATATAGTTCGTTCCTGTATCAGCTCTCTCAAATTATAATTCAAGTAATAGTGGATTTTATCATTTAACACCACATGATACAATAACTCAACCAAATTTACCACCTATCGAAACAAATCCATCAATACAATTTAATGATCAACAACGTCCATCTCTTAATCAATCTCTTCCTAATTATCCTTCTCTGCCACCACCGCCGCGAACATCAATATTAAAAAAACCATCAACAGTATTATCTCAAGAAAAATATAATCCTCTTTCAATACAAACACATGATGAAGTACTTGAAGAATTACGTAAACGTAATAATAATACAAATGATGGTATGTATCGAGTAAAAAAAGTTCATATATTAGAAAAAGATGATCATGGAAATCAACCATTAACTTTATCCTTCAATCTTCCATCGAGTAAAGCTAGTCAAAGTATATTAAGAAGTGAAAAATTACTTTTTAATCAATGATTTAATGAAAAAAAAAAATAGACAAAGACATAAACGCACACACACACACACACACACACGAGAAAAGAAAATGTTTTTATTTTGTTTCTTCTTTTTTTTTTTTTCGTTTTATGAATAAAGATCAAAATTTGTTGAACAATCATTATGAATAGCTGATAATTTATTAATACCATTTGTTGGATTATATGTAAAATAAGATGATAAATTATCAATTGAATTATTATTTAATGTTTCATGTGGTACTGTTTGTGGTGGTGTTGATGATATAATACCACTTGTATCAAATGATGGAAATCCATAATGACTTGATGTATTATAAAATGAATGTCTTCCCCAATAAGGATTATTTGTATTTATTTTTGTATCATTAGTAACATAAACATTTGTTGATGTTGGTGTTGTATATGGTGAAAATGAACTTTGAAATGTATTTTGATAAAATGTTGATGAATAAAATGGTACATAATTTTCATCGGATCTTATTTGTTGTTTTATTTTATTTGTTGATGATGGATAAAAAGCTGAATTTGATGATGATGATAATGATGGAGATTTATTTATTGATGTTGGTGTTGTTGTTGTTGTTGTTTTTGGTGAAATTATTGTTGTATTTGATGTTGTTGTTGTTGTTGTACTTTTTATTACTTGTCCATTTCGTGATATAAATGGATAAAGTGTTTGAGGATCACATACAAAACGATAAACATAACGTTCACCAGCTACTTTTTGCATAATACCTTTTTCATAATAATATCGAAGTGAACGAGATAATTTATCATAATTCATTGATGGACGATTTTTTTGTGCACCCCATAAACGTGCTACCTATGAAATAAAACAATCGATAAAAAAAAAAAAAAAGAAATTTCGCTTTGAATTTTAACTTACTTCTTCAGGTTCAACTAATTTAAATTCTAAACCTTTTCCTGTCCAAATAATAATTGTACCATTAATACCATCTTCTAGTAATGCTAATAGAAATTGCCATAATTGTATTGAACCACGACGACCATATAATTGTGAATCACGTATAGAATCCCATCGACGTTCTATAAAATGATTCTTTTTTTTTCTCAGTCAATTAATTTTTTTGTTTTCTTCATCTTACCTCCTCGATTTCGATGTTGTTCACCACCGGATCGACACGACATTGTAATAGGATTACTGTTTAATAGAAAAAAAAAAACATCTTTTTTTTTTTTTTCTTCAAATAATTTTAGAGTTCAGTTTTCTTTTTTCTTGTTTAATAAAGGCACTCATGTTAATTATCATGCCTTTCTTATATCTGAATTTTTATACTCGTTATTAGAATTGAAATATAAGAATAGTAGTAATAGCAACCTTTTTCTTTTTGTGATGTGCACAAGTCAATTAGACATTTCATTCTTCTTCGCATGTCGCACATACACATAAAAAACCAGAATGAGGTCTTTTTCCTTCTCTCTTCCTCGGCATTAATCAAGTACTATATACAATGAGACACATACGTAGGTGTTATATTGAATACTCACTGGATCATTAAAATAAATGTATATTCTTGTTCAATATGAAGAAAATTTTCTAAATGATTCTGTTATATCTGTTTGTATAATATTTCTCTCTCTCTCTCTCTCTCTCTCTCTCTCTCTCTTTTGTTTTCTTGTGGAAACCAGAAACACAACTTCAATCGTTCTAGTACATCACTCACGTTCACAAATCAATCATTTCTTTTTTCTCAAGAACAGATCATCATCATGATCATCAACTATAATATATAAAAGAACATTATCGGAAAAAAACAAGAAGAAGAAATATATTATTTTTCTACTAATTCATTGGACATGACAATATTACAATTTATATGAGATCTATTTGAAAGTTAATAACATAAACGAGAAAAAAATCAAAAAAAAAGAAAACTGAAAGAAAATAATTGATTAGAATAGAAAAACGTCCGATATTGACTACCAACCGGAAATGAAACTAGACGTTCAAGAGGAAGATCCACTTTTTGGACGATACCATACTATGTCATTGATACAGTTAACAATCATTAATATTCGAATAGAATTTTCTATAATTTACTAAATGACTTACCCTTGAGCGTTTAGTTGCCAACAATGATTAAAGCCGACAATGGTTCGTCACTTTACAGTTGCGGACAGGTGTATGTGATGATATGTTCTCTTATTTTTTTCTTTTTTTGATTTGAACTTTTAATACGAGACAAAAAAAAAAAAGGGAAAAGTGAGACACTTGAACGCGACCAAATGCTGAGTCTTATTTTTTCAATGAACTAAATCTATGATCATCTCGTAATTGGAAGAGAGAGAGAGAGAGCAAAAAAAAAAAAGTTCTTTTCCTTCACTTATCAAGTAAAAAGAGAAATCAACCAATTGGAATTGAATTATATTTACATGGCCAATAATAAGCAAGAAAAAAAAAAAACTTCTTCTTCGCTTTCTCTTTTAAAAAACAACGGGAAACCACAATTAATCATATTTTATTCCATGTCATTCAACTGATTCTTCGAGATGAGTATTGATATGAATCTGTAGCTATTGTTAAGAATGTTTTGTCTTGTTCTTGCATTTAAATTGACGTAATAAATTTCATCAAAAATTAAGAATGAACATCGATCGCTGTTGGATATCATCAATGGTTACACATAGATTTCTTTGATAAAAGATTTTCATTGTTATTAAATGGGAAAAATGATCATTTTTTGACATTTAACAGATTTGAAGGACTTTAAAAATTTCTATTTACATTATAAAAATATGAATGAATAAGATACAGGATAAAAATCTTTCATGAATATATTTATATTCAATGGGTAGTATATGAAATTTTGTTTTTTTTCTTATCTTGATGATTTTTCATGCAATGATAAATTACTATTTTTTGAAAATTTAAATGAGATGAGTTAAAGAAAAAAAAGTTAATTTGAGACTTGACAAAAAAACACTAATGGAAGTTTTTTTTTTTTTTTTACAAAGATTACATTGAGGTGTAGATTATGTTAGAAAAACTATTTCAAGAAAAGAAAATGAATATGATTCTTTTTTTTTTTCTCATATAAAAATGAACTTTCTAATTTCAAACTACTAGAATAAAGGTATTTGCTAATTCAAAGATTTTGAACAAAAAATACAAATGAATTTTATCATTAGATTTAATCAATACTTCGTCTAAATAATGATTTAGAATGTGCTAATAGAAAAGTACCTATCATATATTCCTGTGGTGAAATATGAATTCAGCATGATTTCCTGATTTTGTTCTTTAGCATGCACACAGTAAAGATCAAAACCACAAATGTCTATCTATTTGCATTTTCAACCAGTAATAGATAACATTTTTGAAGATATTGCTAAGGACATATCGAGTCTAAATGAATAATCATTTGTGAAATTTGAATCAATTTATCTCATAACAAGTCTGATTTGTAAATAACCCCTTTTTTAAAGTAGAGGATCATCAAAGGAATCCCTAGCAGGGAAGGGATCGAGAGATGACCCTTCGATCTAAAAAAATGTTGTTTTTTCCAAGCGAAGTTTCAACGTTTTATTGATTTGTTTACGCACTGATTCCAAAAAAAGAATACACCTGTGGATAGAGCCCATCGGGTCCGCGTTCAACAAATTTTAATTGATCGGATTCAGGTCCAAAAATTCTTGAACTCAATGGACTCTACCTGTGGATCTTCAATACATTCAGATGATTTAGAATTCGAAGTATTATTTATAGACAACTTCGGGCTAAAAGATATGTCAACAGTTGTCTGGCTCTTTAGAATTAGGTTTAATTGGTAAAGATAAGTTATGTGAAGAGTAAGAGGATGTTAGATGTTTTTTGTTAATTATTTGAAAAAGAGAATCGCTTTATGAATTTGAAATAAATTTGAGTGTATTGTAAAATATGATATTTCAAAAAACTTTGATCGAATATTTATAGTGAAGAAAAAATTTTTATTTTTCTCCGTATACTCATCAATTGTAAATTTAGTTTTATGGTTTTCTTTTTCAAAAAAAGTAAATCATCAAAGTATATCTTTTTTTTTTTGTTTTGTATATAAAATTAAATGACAAAAATCAAAGAATAACAATATTAAGCCAACAATATACTTATTATCAATAGAAAGAATACAGACAAAAAAAAAATAGATACTAACGAGAAAAGAAACCTAACAAGAAAAAAAAAATGACCCAAATTGGAATTACATTAGTCAAATTAAAATTCTACATGATCCGAATGTAAAGATGTTGTAGCAATATTTTCATCACATGCTAATGGTGTTTCAAATATTATAGTATATTCACACCGACTTGGTTCTCGTACATCAGTAAGTTTTTGTTCAATTCCACATTGTAATGTAACTATTAATGATCGAGGTGGACCATTCCAACAAGTAGCACCATTAGAATATTTCATTTTTAAATATTTATTATCTTTTGGTCCACACCATGAATCCCAATAACCTATAATAACTTCACTACCACCACCTTTTGATATTTGTTTAGCAGTTTTAAACATACATATTCTATATGTATATTCTCGTTCTTCATAATCAAAACATTGATCAATTATTGGTGAATATTCATCATGTGGTCCAGCATCAACAGTTGATTGTTTTTTTAAATCTCTGTGAGCAAAAAAAAAAAATAAAAAAAAATAAAAAAATGATTTTATTTCGACATACTCAATTTGATGTTTAATAGAAAGAAATTTTTCTCCGATTTCATGATATCGATTTCGAGCTTCTTCAGCTATTTCCATTAATTTTTTTGTTTCATCATCATATTCTGGAGCTACACTATCATGAATATGTTTTTCATGTTCAATTGACTTTACAAAAAAAAAAAAAAGAAAAATAAATTTCAAATCAATACTTTTCTTTTTCTATGTGATCATCTTACTGTTGCTAGTGTTTTTGATTCACGATGATGATCTTCTTCATAATCATCTTCATCTTCATATTTATATGAAGATCGTGTGTGTGTTGTTAAATCTTCTTCATCAATAAATGTTTCTAATGATGGTGATTGAGTTGTCATTGAATCTATTGATGGTTCAGGAAGTGGTGTTGGCTCAGGTGTTGGTCTAGTTGGTTCAGGTAATTGTCGATATGAATTTGATATTTGATCAAATATAGTTGTATTAAATTCATTTAAATTAACTGAATCAGAACCAAGTATTGACTAGTTAATCAAAACAAAAACAAAAATATAGAATTTTTAAATGTAAATAATAATAAAAAAAAAAAATACGTACTCGAACTTCTTCAATTGTAAATTCATTCTGTTGATTTGTATCAAGTTCTGTATGTTTTTGTAATTCATCAATGGATATTCTATAAAAAAAAAATAAAATAAAGATTGAATTGATTTTTTACATTAAATAAAAAAAAAAAATACTACATACAATGAATCTCCATTTGTATCTAAATCAGCAAACATTTCATGCATTTGATTATTACGTAAACTAACGTCTTGCATAGTACGTTTTTCTATTTGAAAATAAATAAAAAGATATTAATTAAATAATATGTTTAATAAACAAACCTTCACATAATTTCTTATGTTTTTCTTTTGCTGCATTTTCTAGTATTTCAACTTGTCGTTTTAATTCTATTCAAAATAAATAAATACACATAGATTTAACCGAATTTTTATCGAAATTTACCTTCTTTTTCTTTTAATTCTTTCTCAAGAATTTTTAAATCTTGTTCAAGTTCATCAAGATGTTTCTGAGAAAACTGAAAATGAATGAATGTCTGTTTTTTTGTTGTTCTAATTAAATTTACCTGTCGTCCAAATTTATTAGTTGTTGTACTTGCAAGAATTTGTTTCTTTTTTTCTACACCTGCTGCATGTAATGCACGTTGTGCGTCACGACTAGCTTGAAATTTTTGAGCTAACTCACTAAATAAAAAAGGAAGAATTAATTCTATTAAATTAATCTTTGATATTTAATAAAAGAATAAAAAAAAAATCACATTCAAAATAAAAAAATATACGCACACAGTAAACAAGAAAAAGCATCTATATTCATTTAATGAATGTAGTTATTGACGAATAAAAATATATATATATATATTCGTAGAAGATCAATTTACGAACAAAAGTCAAATAATATTATCTTAAACTAAACACTATATTTTAACACAGAACGTTTATGTCGTTCTCGGAATGATTTCAAAAGATTATGACGATAACAATATATCAAACATACAAAACAAAATATACATAAAAATTGAATAGAATATTTTTTTGAAAATAAATAATCATTTGTATAATTTTCATCATTAATTGTTTTATCCAAATATTTATCAATTAATAAACCATGTTGACTATATGTCTTAGTAGCATTATATATAACTTTTGATGATTGATGTTTAGAATTTTTTAATTTTTCAGTTTTTTTATTTTTATTTGAAAATACTGGATTAAATATTGTTTGATAAAAAATTAAATTGTTTGTTAAATTTAATATTAATGAATGAGAAGAACTGTGTGATGCACTAAAATATGAAACGCGACAAAAAACAAGGACGGATGTTGTAAAACGAAACAAAAAAGAATATATCATCCTCACTAACTAATGAAAATAAAATATATTTTATAAATACTTACAAGCAAGTATTATTGCAAACAATTATTGTTTCATATTCATCAGATCCATCACAACAATCTATTTAGTAAAATTTTTTTTTTTTAAACAAATTATATCTATTCAATTAAAATGCATACCACATACACCATCACCAACAAAATGTGATGGTATTAATGTACCAAAATAACCTTTATTTTCACAAAAAAATTGTCCATTTGGACAAGCTGATGTTCCTGGTTCATCGCTACCATCTAAGATAAATGATAAGGTTAATTGAATAAATATTTGATTCATTTTACCTTGACAATCACAATAATCATCATTAACAAATTCAAATGGAATTGTTAATGAACCATCAAGACAAGTAAATGGTTTTGATGGTATATACATTGAAAGAACTAAATATTAAAAGAAAAAAAATTAAATTATTAATTTTTATTGAACAAAAAAAGTTCAATGTTTTTACGTGAAGTTTGAACACCACGTAATACAGTTTGTTGAATATTTCCATTGCTAATTGATGTAAAAAAACATAAAATAGTAGCGAGATTCACGTAGAAAAGAAACATCATACAACAAATGAAAAAACGAAAAAGATTTGCTTATATATCATTTCATCTTTTTGTTTGTCTTGTTATATTTTCATTGGTTATTTATCATAACGAATCAAGTTACCTTTGAAGACTGTTGTCAACAACAAGTGAAGATTCGACAGACATGCTCATTCATATAAACACAATCGATGCTTTTTTTCGATGAAGTTATCGAATTGTCTTAATATTTTACGAAGATGATTTAAACAAATACTAGATAAACAATTAATCCATTATTTCCGAATGTCTATCGACGTGGACATAGGCAGAAATATCATTGAAAAACCTTGAACCCGTCATGGGCACATTGAGATCTCATTACAGGCCGTTACAGACATCTTAGGACACCGTTACAAATAGTGACAGACTGCATCCGCAGACTATTATAGACATCATATTACTAAGACCTGCTAAAAACGTATGAGCTATATCTTTATTGTATCTCGAGAGGATTCTGTAAAGGATGATGAAGAAATCATTCCATAAATGGATCGAATGAGGTCATTTTTATGTGGTCACTAACAGTGATCAGATCGCGTTTTAATCCCACAGGGATTGTACTAACAACTTTTTGATAAAGGAGAAAGATTTTATTTTAGGTGTTAATGAGTAAAGCATTGGTATTTTCCATGTAGAAGAGTAACAATAAGACGAAACTTAAAAAATATGAAGTAATTGAATTCTAATTTTAGCTAAAATTCAACACTATATACGAAAATTAGTCAAGAGAAAGAATAATATGCCTGATAGCTTACTGAGCAGTAAAATAAATATGCATAGGAGACTAATATAGTAAAGCCATCGACACATTAGAAGACCCTCCTTGAATAAATGACGCAAAAGACATATTAGAAGACCCTTCTCCTCTCTTCAAAAATCTATATTTTGAAACAGTTTCTGAAGTTTATTGATTTGTTTAGTATTTAAGTCTAGAATGATATCGAAATTCAGTACGAACAATATCTTGCTTCCTCCCTCATAACCAAGTGTCAGGCTCGAATGAGTAAAGTCCTGAGAAGTAACTAATAGGAAACAACTGTCTATTAAAGATTGCGTTTCTTTGTAAAAATATACCATGGAATCATTTTAGTACTCCTTTGCAGTTTACTTTGAATACCTTATTCAGGCTCTATATACGAAAAACACGCTTCCATAGTCATAGGATCTAATGAATGCAGTGCCCGTTCGTGCATATAACATGTGAAAGGATCTTTGTACGATAGTAACAGATTAGATGAAGTGCCACTTTGTATTAATTAAAAGGTCTTTTCATTTTTGACTTTCTTCTAGAAAATCAGAAATGTTTTCACCACAAAATAGTCTTTCATAATTGAAGAAAACATAACTTCATGCACAGTCTACACAAAAAATTCTGAGACACTGAAGAATGGTTCTGCAAAATTTTATATTTCATTTGAAACAAACTTTATATATATTTTAAGTATAGTTACTGGTTACAGTTTTATATAATATTAAAATTAGAAGTTTTGCGTCTGTAGAGTAAAGTACGAAAGTTTAACCAGTAATTATGCTTAAAAAATATATATAAAGTTTATTTCAAATGAAAGATGAAATTTCGGAGAGCCATTCTTGAATGTCCTAGAATTTTTTGCGTAGAATGTATAAACGTCGAGATTTGATATGTGAGTACTTTTTTTGAGTTTCAGAATGCATTTCTTTTTTCAACAAGATACAATGGCATTTTTTGAAACAGACGCAAAAAGAAAAACGGTGTGTGTATTCAACTGCTGATTTTCTATAGATAGTTTCTTCATAAGACAATCGTATTCATTGAAGTTAACTTAAGATTAATAACTTTGCTAGTAGCAGAATTCACTATGGATAGGTTCCATCTATACTAATCATATCTCCACATAAGCAACTGAATAAAATGAGTTTGATAAAAAAAAATTAATTTTCTTTTTTTACATTTATTTAGTTATTGAGAAGGTAAAATGTTGCCAGTGATAGGTGTTAGCCTAGAGAAAAAAAGAACGATATGGGATATCGTACCAAGATGCTAGGCTACATTGACTGTATTGTTCTAAGAACACTTCTTACCAACGATGGTCTCCCTTTTCTCACAGGATGATATCTGTTTCTTTCTTATTCTACACATGTGAAATAAGTGAAGCAAACTCATTTACCAACGATATATTGGACAAAAATCAAGTGAAGCTAAGGTTTGTAGGTGGGATTGCCAAAAAATATGACTTTTTTAAGGGACATAATAGAAGACCCCCCCTTTTAACTTATGAACGATAAAACAAAATAGAAGACCCCGGATCTTCTAATGTGTCGATGGCTTTAGTTGGAGTTCCGTTGAAAAAAGTCCGACAGGCTGATTTACGATCAAATGCGCCCCCGTCCTTTTCCTTGGAAGTTTTTTTCTACTTGTAGGCAAAATACATCTAGAAAGTGTACTGTGTGATATACATAATTATATTGATGAAAATATTTACTAGTAAATCAAATGAGTTCAACAAGCTTCTCAATAACTTGTTCGATAAGAGATGGTTAATCATTAGATGCATTCTACAGCGATCATCGAGAAATAAAAAAAGAGAAAAGAGATATATTATTCATATTGTTTTGTAAATCTTATTATATAAGAAGTCTAACAAGATATTTATCGTCAATAAAATATTCTTATTAATTATATTATGATAAAATGACTAAAGATGTGTTCTAAAAAAAATAGTGTCTTAAGTACGTGTACTATTAAAAACATTTTTTCATATCTTTTTCTTTTCTTCTATCATATTAGTCAAAGTATAAAAAACGATATGACTCTTATCTATTCAAAACTATCATTGTGAAGTAGAAAAGACCTACTTTTCAAATCGTTCTACTCTCTCCTTTCTTTCAGTGTTCACTAAATTGTTTAGGATACTCCGCATGGAACGTAATTGTGTTACCATTAGTATATGGACGAGACTAATAGTCTATCTGTGCAGTTATTTTATCAATGGCTCTTGTAAATTACTATCAGATGTAAAGAGTTTAAAGTCGTGAAAATTTTTATTAGTCCAACATGTACAGGTGAAATAAAATGAATTAATGATAATCCAAGGAACTTGATTAACAAGCTGAATTAGATTTTAACAGACGTAAATTTGTCTTCTCTATTGAATTATCATAACTTTCTGTTTAAAAAAAAAAGGTTGTCTTTTATGAACAATTTCTCTCAATACGAAAATTATTCTACTAATATGAACATCGCTATACATAGAGAAAATTTTCTGGAACCTGTTTTTTTTTTGCAAGTATCCGAATGGTAACATTGACAATGATGAATACGATGATAACTAAATAAATATTCGTTCTCTCAGTCTATTTCGTTTTTTAATGCATCTAAATAGGCGATATTCTAAATCAAAGATGTCTCATAACCATCAATATTAATTTCAATTCATCGCTATCAATTATAAAATTAATTTAAGATAACTGTATCTTATTCATATAGGTAGTGATTCTGATGATAATAATTTTTAATCACATTATTCTCTAATTACTATGCATCATCGTGGTAATTTATACCAACAATCGCATTTGATATGAATAACAACAATTTAATGATATTCAGTGTGTTACCGTTATTGATTTTAAATAATGTAAAAAAAGAAAGCAATCAGAAGATACAATATCACTTATATTTATGATTAGTTTTGCTGGCTTGAAAACTAAAATTACTCAATTATCAGAATTACTCAATCATTCGAGTTTGATATAGATAGTAAGATTTACAGATACATAAAGGCGCCACATGTGCTGTCTGAAGAACAAATCCAATAAACGCTTAGAATGATTTGACTAACTGACGAACAAATCAGGTTGTTGTCGAATAAGAAATTTTATTGGTTAATGGTTATGTTAGGAAATGTAAAACCCAGACGATGAGAGTATAAAAAAAATTATCTTGATACTTTTATTATTATTATTATTTTTTTTCCAACGACTATGTCGATAATTATTAATAGAAATGAAATTTCATCAAATTGGAAAAATTTAGCAGTATGATTTTTCGATTAGTTTATTTATGTTTTTTAATTATTTTATATTTATTTAGACAACATTACCTGTCGGTACGAATAAAAAGAAAAAAATTGAAATATTAGAAAGTTCAATACGACAACCAAAGTAATTTTTTTTTCTATTCAATAATATTCAATGATTTTTTTTTTTTATTTATTTTGTTAATAAATTAGATTAACAAAAGCCGTATGTCTAGATTGTGAAATGGTTGGTATTGGTGAAATGGGTCTTGACAATATGCTTGCTCGTATATCAATAGTTAATCAACTTGGTCAATGTCTTTATGATAAATATGTTAATCCAACAGAACCTATTATTGATTATCGTACATCAATTAGTGGAATTACAGAAAAACATCTTCAAAATGGTTTTATTCGAAATTTATTTTAATCATTTAAAAATTTTATTATTATTATTTAGGAATTCCTCTTGATGTTATTCAAAAAGAAGTGTCAAATATAATCGAACATCGAATACTTGTTGGTCATGCTATACATAATGATCTTCAAGTAAATATTTAAAAATAGAAAAAAAAAAGAATTTTATTTTTGTTTTTAAAGGTTTTATTTTTAAGTCATCCAAAACGACGTATTCGAGATACACAACGTTATAAAGGTTTTCGATCTTTATTTAATGGTGGTTTACCTTCATTAAAATCACTTGCTGATAAAATACTTGGATTAAAAATTCAAACAGGTGCACATGATTCTGTAAGTTTAAAATTTATTTATTATTTAAAAAAAAAAAAACATAATTTAAAATCTATAATATTTTTTAGGTTGAAGATGCTCGAATAACAATGCAATTATATGTTCAACATCGTCGTGAATGGGAAAAATCTTTACGTGAAAAAAAATCTTTAACTAGTGAAGAAAAACATAAACGTATACGTGCTCGTCAAAAACAGAAACAATTACAAAAATCTTCTTCTTCTTCTCGTGTTAAAAAAACAAATAATCTAATTTAAAATATGTTATTACCAAAAATACATATGTTTTGTTATGTTTTAGATATTTTACAAAAATTTTAGTTGACTTTTATGTCAAATATTACACAATATATATATATAAGAAATATTTCAATGAAATCTCAGGTATGTCGACATTAATTCACATTCCAGTAAGCTAGATAAAATCAACTAATTGTATACTTTATTTTTCAGAGATTAATATACAGGATAGGACCATAAATAGAACATTACGATAAAAAATTGAAATATCTTCACTTCGGTTTGTTCGAATGTGCTGATTTTTTTATTAGTGATAGATGCTTATTTAAAGATTTATATAGATAAGGTAAATAAATACTACTGTCAAGTAAGAAAAATACTTTTGAAAGGATTCGTGCTATTAGGTCTTTGTTCTCGAGTTATGATAATTTTACTGAACTTTCAGCCTACGGCAGGAAATCACGAGAAAAATCGCAACAAGAGGTTTTAGCCGGAAATTCTCCTCGACTCAATAGCTCCCATTCTCTGTCCTTTGTTTTTCTTGCTTGAGACTACTGCCGTTTGATTGTATATATATAGCGAGAAAGAACAGACTTTTTTTCTTTTTATTACGTATGAATATATATATAGTTCCAATTGGAGTCTGAGTATTCAAAAGTTTATTTTTATCAATCTTTATATCTAAATAAATGCTCCGATAATAGTTGAAGTGACATTCGTTTATACGTAGAAAACTCGATTTTTTGCTTATTATACATTGCAGTATGCCCATCTTTTTTTCTTCTCTGAACTTTATGTGTTATTCATGACTAGCGCAATACAGTAGAATTTCTACTTCATCGCTGTATATCATTTATCGAACTGCAGTAGTCTTAAAAGCAAGGAAAAAAATGGGGGGGGGGGGGGGGGGTTCAATTGAGACGTATTTGTATATTCTTTTTAGCATCGAATTTAATGAAATAAACTAGTGAAAGTCTGCAGAGAAACAAGAAATTTTGCATTAAATCAATTGAAAGTTAAGTTCAACAATAGTTTTCTATTATCACTATGACTAGTCGATATTATTTAGCCATCTGACTATAGAGATTTGGACCGAACCAACAAATTTATTCCACGTTTTAATAAGATAGAAATTCCATTAAAATCTTGTCTTTTTTTTTGTCTTTCTAAAATGATTTCTATTCATAGATTCACAGACATTTGCAATTCAATTAAATCTTCATCGTTATATGTTTTATATATTCTCAATAATATTATCAGTTTTGTTTCTATTAATTCAAGTCAGGTATTTATTGAATATAAAATATTTTACGTTATTATTATCTTTATTTCATATATAATATTTTAAATCATAATTCAGATAGTCTTTTATATATTTTAATATAAAACAAAATAATAGTTCAATTAAAGTTTGGTCGATGTTTTTCTTATAAAAACTCGTTCATAAAGATTTTTCCAGTGATTTAATATACTTTGATAGATCGTTTTAATAAAATGGCACATAAGAAGAAATAATAATTCTGCAATTTCAACAAAACTTATTAAACTAACACCAATCCAAAGTCCTAAAAATAACAAATAATATTTAAAACACAAAAAAACAACAATAGAAATTTATATAAAACATAAATTAACCTGTTTGCCCACCAATACTTGATATAACATCAACCCATGTATACATTAGTGATTCAGATAAAATTTCTGTTGCAAATGGACTTGCTGATATTTCAACAGCAACAATATTATCAAGTAAAGCTCCTTTACGATTATTTGAACAAGCTGATGTATTTAAAGGAACTACTGAATATCCAGTAGTTTTTAAATAGTTTTCTACACGTTGTAAAACTTTGTCTGTTGAACGTGTATTTGGATAATCAGCATATGATGATTGAATTTTATATTGAATAAGTTCACATTCAGGTAAACATTCTGGACAATGTTTACTTGAATCTCAGAAAAAGAAAAAAAAGACAAATAATTTAATCGAATAAATATATATATACATTTTTTTTTCTAATTACTTACTAAAAAGATTACGATATGTAAGACATTTATTTTTTATTGAACATAAATTATCTGTATTTGCATATGTCGTATAATTTTGAGAAAAAAATTGTAAAAATACCATAAGTAATTGATCTGTACAATTACATAATTTTTTAATAAAACGAAATTCACATAATTTAAAACATAATGTTTGAGAATATCGTACATTATTTGAACCAAATATTCGTTTCATATTATTAGTTAAATTATTTCGACATCGTTGAGAAAATGATATAATACGTTGAGAAAAAATAAGTTTTGTAAATGTTGTTGGTGGTAAAAAAAGACTTGTTTGAGATAATATAGGTATTTGATGTTTACGATGAATAAATAAACGTATTGCTGCTCGATCATCAAGATATGGAATATATTCATTTTGATAAAGATATAATTCAAGAAATAATTTATAACTATCTTCAACATCTTCATCATCAATTGACCATCGATGTAATGAATCATTTCGTTGTGTACGATCAACATGAATGTCATTATTAAATGTATAACAATTTCCATAATTTGGATGAAAAAAAGATGTTAAATTTCGATGACAAAATCGTCCATTAAATGTACATTTAATAAGAAGATCATTTAATTTATAACCTGATTCAATTATTGGTGATCGTTTATTTTTAAGATTTTTAGCAAGAAGTCTAATCATATATTCACTAAATTTATTTTGATAGTCGTTATCTATATAAGATGAATATGAAGTAGGAGTATGTTGATGATGTATATCATCATCAACTAAACTCTCATTTCGAAGAGGATTAAGATTACCTTAAAAATATAGAATAATTTTTATTTTATTTTTAAAAAAAAGCAAATAATTTTCTTACAAAAAGTAACTGCTGGAAAATTTATTGGATCACGATAGTGTTTTACACTTAGATTAATTTTTGTTGGATTACCAATATATTTTAAAATAACTGTATAAATAAAAATACACATTAATGCTGTAAATGCTAGAAATGTTGTTGACCAAAAAATACGTTCAAATATTGAAGTAGCACAACTAATTCGTCGAATTCCATGTGTTGGAGAATTTAAAAACCAATTTTTTATTATATTCAATGCACTTTTTTCTTTTTCAGATTTCTTTTCCGATGATGAAGACATATTGATGATAAATGAATAATAAAATTTAAATTCTCTTTAGTTTTTATTATGTTTTTTTTTTCTTTATTCATCAATCATCTTTTTTTTTTTTTTTAATTAAAATAATCAGAAATAAAAAAAAAAACAATAAAAATTTCTTTTTGTAGATTTTTTGATTTATCATAAAACTAAAAACAATAGAAAAAAAAATAATATGCCTGGAGCTCATTTTGACGCACCACTTGTTGTTGAAAATCTAGATGGTTGGGGACCGACAGATGACACATTTCAATATAAAGACATGCCTTATCAACCTTATTCTAAAAGTGATCAATTAGGCAAAGTATGACATGTATATTTATTTTATTTTATTTCTTTTTTTTTTTGATTTTCAAATAAATCTTAGGTTGCTGATTGGACAGGCACAGTTTATGGTGATAAACGATTTAATGGTAAAATCAAACAAAAAAATTAAAATTTTACTTGAAAAAAAAATTTTTTTCTTGTTTTTCTCTTAGCACGATATCGACCACAATTTGGTGTTGGTGCTGGAATGTATCAATATATTCATGAAGAAGATGAAAATACATTTCAACTTGTTGATTCTACTCGTTTACCTAAACCAGCTTATCAAAAACGAACACGTTTTCAACAAAATGTAAGATAAATATAAAGAGATGGAACAAAAATTTCTAGACAAAATATTATTTGATTATTTTTCACATATTTAAATGCATCAGAAAAGTAAGAAGTATAAATGATGGATAAAAGTTTAGAGCAGTTATATTTTTGAATGTTTTTCTCGATAGTAATAATTAGAAAAAACAAACATGTAAGTAACTAAAAGAATTATCTATTAGGATTTATAGACCTAAAAACTGTATTGAAAGATACAGAAAATAATTCTTTATAGAGTCGTATATTTGAATACAATTTTTTGCAATCTGTTAAGGTATAGTAAAAGTTTTGATAAAGTCTATCACAGAAAAAATGGATATTTTTCTAGTTTCCATCTTTTCAGCGCAAAAATGATCCTTTGACATTTTGTAGCGGATTAACCAAAACTCTTCATTGTTGCGTGATTGTCTAGAGTAGAGATCATCTTCAAAAATTACATATCTACAGAACTTATTGGACATTTACAGGAAGCAGACTTGTCTACAGAAAAATAAGATTTTTTTCTATTTCAGGAAATTCTTTTTGAGTCCTGTCAAGATTTACTTATAACTCAATAGTTAAAAGTTACAGAAAATTATTCTGAAAGAATACAAAATTTTCATTTTAATACACTACTAATACATTTAAAATGCGCAAAAAATAGTCAAATATTACGTTTAGAAACTGTCGATACACTTTTTAATTAAAAAACAAAAAAAAAACTAATAATAATAATAATAATAATTTTTCTCTTTAATAGCGTTTCCGTCAACAACAAATGCAAAATGGTCGCTTTGGTTCAATGCAAAAATCGTTTGCTGGTACACAAAAAAAATCTAAAACAATGAAAAATTTAGAAATGTAATTATATAAAATATAAATTTTATTTTTTTCAAATTTTATATCTAATAAATAGGGATCAAATGCGACAAATGCGTAAATGGCAAAAACAATATGGAAATCGAACTGATCCACGTCAACATGTAAGAAAGAAAAAAAAATAAAAAAATAAAAAAATAAATATTTATCTGTTATTTTAAAGCAACAAGCTAAACAACGTGAACCATCTGTACGTGTACGAGAAGATTGGCAAGTTATTGAAGAAATTCCATTTACTAGTTTAGCTAAATTTAGTTTACCAACTGTTGGTGAACCTGAAGAATTGTAAATTAATATAATTCATATTAAAGAAATACTTATATTTTATTAATTATATAGGAGTGTTTGGGGTTCACTTGAATATTATGATAAACGATATGATCGTATAGCAACAAAAACTGAAAAGAAATTAACTATGGTTAATCGTTTAATACATAAAATTACAACAACAAAAGATCCAGTTATTCGACAGGTTCGAAAAAAAAAAACAAGAACGAAGATTTACCTTTTTTTTTTTATTAATTATTTTAGATCTGTAAAACACGTGGAAATGTTTTTGCTACAGATGCTATTGTTTCAACATTAATGTGTTGTACAAGATCTGTTTATCCATGGGATATTGTTGTTGATGTAAGTTTCTTATTTTGTGTTTTTTTTTTGTAATTAATAAAAAAAATTTTGTTTTCTTTTTTTGTTTATTATTAGAAATTGGGCACACGTTTATTTTTTGATAAACGTGAAGATTCAACAATCGGTAAAAAAAAAAATAAGATGTTAAATTTTTTTAATTATAAATTTCTCCTGCTTTGTTTTTTTGTTTTCGTAGATATGTTAACAGTCAATGAAACAGCAAATGAACCACCACCAGAAGATGGTACAATGGATTCAGCAAAAAATTTAGGAATGGAAGCTGTATTCATTAATCATAATTTTGCACAACAAGTTCTTAAAATGGTATGTGAATGAAAAAAATCGATAGATTTCATTTTGTGGAATACATTTTACAAAGAACTACTGAAGATAGAGATCTGCGGAGTCACTCTTTTTTAACTCTGTTGCCTTCGAAAATTTTTCCGTAAATTAACGAAACAGTGTTTTGTTCAGATTTTGTCTTTCGAAGAAGCTATTTCAAATTCTGGATGAGTCGATTCGATCTTTGAAAAGGTGCTACCCCCTTTGACCCTCACGCTGGATAAAACATTAGATTAGCAATAGCAGCTACATCGTATTTCACATTTTAATCCTATAGAGATTGTGCTAACAGCCTTTTTCTTTTTCTTGCAGAATGAAGAACGATATAAATTTCCAAATCCTAATCCATTTATTCAATCAGATGAAGAAAATGAAGCTGCATCAGTTGCTTATCGTTATCGTGCATGGGATTTAGGTAATAATCAAGTTATTGTTATTCGTTGTGAACAAGATTGTGTTCAAACTGGACCAAATGGTGAAATTCAATTTGTTAATATAAAAGCATTAAATGAATGGAATCCAAAAGTATTTATTTTAAAAATTAAAATAATTTCAAAATTTACTTTGTAATAGGTTAGCGGTGGTCTTGATTGGAGAACGAAATTAGATATGCAACGAGGTGCTGTTTTAGCATCTGAATTACGTAATAATGGATTTAAATTAGCTAAATGGACAACATGTGCCATTTTAGCTGGTTCAGATCAAATGAAATTTGGTTATGTATCACGACAAAATTTTAAAGATGCATCACGTCATACAATTCTGGGAATGCAAAATTTTAAACCACAAGAATTTGCTACACAAATGGCTTTGAATATCGATAATGGTTGGGGTATTATGCGAGGTACGGTTTTGTTTTTTTGTTTTTTATAAAAAATAAATAAAACTTAATTGAGATTTTTTGTTTGTTTTAGTACTTGTTGATTTCTTTATGAATAAACCTGATGGACGTTATTTAATTACCAAAGATCCAATGAAGGTAAATATTAATTTAGTTAGTATATCATCAAGAATAGCACTATTATAGTATATTGCATAGTTTCATCTTTTTTTTTTCTATATTAAAATCTCTACTAAAATCATATATTTAATCGCTATAAATAGTTTATACTATTTTTGGAAGTAGAGATGTTAAACAAAAAGTCTAAAAAAGAACAACTTGTAATCGATTTTATCAAAAATAGTTCACTGATGATCATTAATCTTCCACAATGAAAGACTACCAACAGAAAAAATTTCACAAGACATAATAGAAGGTCATGAATTTTCCAAAAGCTTCTTTTCGAGTTTTTGGCACTTAAGAGCCTGGCTTTGTGGCATTTCATTACTTAAAATGCCGATTTGAAGTCCAGAAAAGTTTTTTCGGTAAACTTTAGCAAAAAACTAGTTTACAATAAAAGGTTACTATTGAAGGAACACTATGGGAGTTCAAACTAGTTTCAAGGGCCATCTTAGATCGATCTTTGATGAGCTTTCCCTATTTAGAAATAAAACAGCTCTACATATCACTATTTCTTATTATTTAAAAAAAAAAATAATAGTGCCATTCTTCTTGATACATTTAAAATTTGCTTAAATTAATTTCATTTATTTCTTTTTTAGCCGACTCTTCGAGTAAGACAAATCAATGTCTTTTTTTTTTAATATTTGTTGAAAAATAAAACAACTAATAATTTTTTTGCTTTTATACAGATCTACAGTGTACCTGAGAATTCCTTTGATAGTGAAGAAGATACTAGTGACGATGATAATGATCGACAACAACAAGATCAACAACAAAAATGAAATAAAATTTTTAAAAAAAAAAATGACATTTCTATTGTTAATGTTATTTATGATTTCGCCTATTAAAAAATCTTGCGAAAATAATATATAATACAGAAAAAAAAAACAAAAAATAACAACTTCTATTTCTTTAATTACTAATTATTTTCATGCTTAGGAAAACATAATTTCTAATTTTAGATATGTAATGAGACAACAACAAATGTGTCAATAAATAGTAAACTATTTCGTTTTGTTACATAAAAGACATTCATCATGGCATTTGATATTGATGATGATCTACCGGATCGTGAAAGCGGTAAGATTAGAAATTAAACATTAAAGGATTAGGTTTTTTTTTTGAAACACGATCTAAAAGAAGTGTTCAAGTATAGAAGTAGAAATTTGGACTCCGCACAGACATCTTAAAAGCAAGTCATTGCAGATCGTGACAAACATAACCATGGAAAGGTTACAGATACCTTAGCAAAACTCTCCTGAAGCAGAGACCTTGGTAGATAGGATCGACAGACATTGTTGATATACGATCAAAGAATGTATATGTCACCAACATCTCATTATAATAATATGTGTAATACTTCCTTATTGCATTTCTGGAGGATGTGAGTAAAAGGATGGTGAAGACATATGTTCCAAAACTGATAGAATAAAATAATCTTTCTATGATTATTAACAGCAGCTACATCATTGTGTTTCACATATTAATTTCGCAGAAATTGGACTAACAGCTTTATATATATATATATATTTCTTTTTCGATTTTAGCTCGACAATTTTATCAGAAATACGAACCGAAAGAAGTTATTGGTAAAGGTTTATCATCAGTTGTTCGAAAATGTGTAGAAAAAGCAACAGGAAAAGAATATGCATGTAAAATAATTGAATTTAATGATGATAGTGAAGTTGAACGTACTGCTACATTACGTGAAATTCAAATACTTAAATTAGTTGGTGATCATCCAAATATAATTGATATAGTTGCATCATTTGAAACACCAAATTATGTATTTATTGTTATGGAATTATGTCCTAATGGAGAATTATTTGACTATCTTACAAAAGTAGTTCATTTATCAGGTTATATTTTTATATTTTGTTTTTCTTTTTCTGGAATAAAATGTTTTTTTTTTGTAATCTATAGAAAAACGTACTCGTCAAATAATGTCAAGTATATTCAATGCAGTTAATCATTTACATTCACATCGTGTTGTTCATAGAGATTTAAAACCAGAGAAGTAAGAAAATTTTTAATAATAATAAAAACAAAAAAAAAAAAAAAAGTAAGAAAATATTTTTCTTTTTTTGTTTTGATTATTCAAGTATTTTAATGGATGGAAATATGAATGTTAAAATAACTGATCTTGGTTTTGCTGTACAAATATCTGAGAATGAACCATTATATGATCTTTTTGGAACACCTGGTAAATAAAAATATTATTTTTTTTATTAAATATATTTTTTCATTAAGGTTATATGGCACCTGAATTATTACAATGTTCCCAATATGATGATATGCCTGGTTATAGTCTTCCAGTTGATTTATGGGCATGTGGTGTTATATTATTTACATTACTTAGTGGTTTACCACCATTTTGGCATCGTAAACAACATTTAATGTTTCGTATGATTATGGATGGACAATATACAATGACTGGATCTGAATGGGATGATGTATCTGAAATAGCAAAAGATTTAATAAGTCATTTATTAGTTATTGATCCAGCTGAACGTTATACAGCTTTACAAGCACTTCAGCATCCATTTTTTAATGTTGAACGAACACGACGAAGAGATTTTATGGCTAAACGAACACTTAAAGCACATATTATACTTATTTGGTCAATAAATCGTTTAAAAACATTACATTATAGACCACAACCAATACGTGGAAAAGAATTATTAGGTGAGAAGAAGAAAAAAAAATCTTTATTTTTTTTTTTTGTCTATTTTCATTTATTTAGAAAATCCATATCGATTTAAATCTTATCGTAGAATGGTTGATTCAACTGCTTTTCTTCTTTATGGACATTGGATTAAAAAAGATGAACATCGAAATCAAAATCGTGCTACATTATTTCAAACAGAAGAAAAATCAGATCTTGTTCATCATGAACAATTACTTGAACAACGACGTCTTCATCTAGATCAATCCGAATCACTTCATTTAAACCATCAGAATGGAATCCATAAAGAACAATCTAGACCTCAAGAAATTCATGGAAATTGAATGATACATAGAAAATAGAAATATACTGATTCATATATATATATATCTATATATAGGTAGACATTCGCTTGATTTCATTCTATCTATGTGTTGGTTTGTTCCTAAACTAGATCAGCATATAGTGTTTCCAAATTATTCTTATTGTCCATGTTTTCCTTTTTTTTTTCTTTGTACACAGAGTTTTTTTTTTTCTTTTCAAATAAGACAAACGCGGTGACTTCTTTAGATAAGCACACGAAACATTTATTCAATATTTTCTTTTTCTGTGGATGCTAATAAAACAAAAATAAACTTTTTATCACGCGTCTTTTTTATTAGTAAATCAACCTTTAATAATTAAAAAAAGCACATTTCAAAAAAAAAAAAGACAGATGTCAACAATTAATCATATCTATATTCATTGTTGTGCCGAAGTTATACTGTTTATCAAAGTTATTGAACATCAACTAAATAATAAATAATAATCAATTAAGTTTAATTGATTTACAATTTTTGATTGTATTTCAAAAGTCAAGACTTACCTTTCGATAATATATGACACATCGTAACTGATTCTTTATGCTCATTTTTTCCTATTAGACGGTCAAACAAATGTCATCATTCATAAGAAAATTCTGTAAGATTAGGCATGTACTGAACCCGAAAATCTTGATTCACTCGTGATTACAATCGTTTTCAGTCAATTAATAAAACGAAGTAGAAGTAAGACAAAAGAAAGGATTTCAGACTTTGTTACAGTAGGTCTACAAACATCGAAATAAATTAACTTAAAAACGAAGGTCTGTAGGCGTACTAAAAAAAAAGCCAACGATATTCAGGAATACTCGAATCGGAACTTCTTAGAACGTTAGAATACTTCTATGATTGTTTATATATCTCAAGAAATGCTTGAGCAATTACCCAAATATCCGGCACTATCTGAACTGGTTGAATATTTTCCGAACCCGAATACAAACTGTTCATCTCGAACACTGAGCTAGAATTCGGATTTAGTGCATACCTATGTAAGACCTTGTAAAAAGAACTTCGAGAAGCTCTTGTTTCTCAATAATAACAACATTATTTATTTACTCTTATAAAAGTAATCGTGCATCATTAAAATGCAAAACTAACTACAATTATATATTTTGTTTATAAAATCATCAATCAATTAATTATTATTTGTTGTTTAGTTGATGTTTAATAACTGCAACAAATAGTACAACTTCAGCACGAGATTTGCATATATATATCTATTACTCATACTTATGCTTGTGTAAAGGATGAGAAAAAAGTGATGTGCATATCACGATCAACATTTGTATTCAGCTTCTACTTTAGCTAATAAAATGACTTGTAAGAAAAGCTATTTTTCTATCAATCAGTAAGATAATTTTTTATTTTCGTAATTTCATGATATTTATTACTATACGAAAATTTCCTTTCGTCTTATATCATTCAAAGAAGTAAAATTCACTGTACATTATCGTACATGTTCTGCGATTTATATTCATTTGTAAAGCAATCTAAAATTACATTACTTTTACAAAGGACTATAATACGTGGATAAAGTACTATGTCAACTTATCTATTTTTAGCACAGTCAGTTAAAGCTCATGCAGAATTATAGCGTATTTGCCACTTAGGTCATTCTGTCTTTTACATATGTCACATTATCTTTTAAACGACTGGGACACATTGATTGTAGTTGAGGACATAGTAAATTCAAATTTTCAAAAAAATTTCAATTTCTGCATATCGCTATATAATGGATGATAAAAGTTAAGCAATACTCCTACAAACATATTTATTAAATATCGATAATGTATAGCTAAAATCCATTTTTTACTCATTCAATTAATGAAATACAATCTATAATTTGACATTGAGTTGGATCAAGAGATTCTTGTTATTATGAAAAGAATATAAACGTAATATGTATATTTTTGGAGTTATGTTTAGTAAGAAAATTTATTTTAATATGAAAAGTTTATGGAAAAGATAAGTATTTTTTAGACGTGCATATGATTGAGTTGAACCAAGAAATTTATTTTCACTAGGAAAGTATATACAGAGGAAATAAATTTCCTCACCTAACACAATCGAAACCTATATACATTATGTCTATATTTTATTAATAAACAAGTCAATCTCTTACGCAATTGTCTCTTTCATGACATTCTTTCCATAGCCATTGCATTTGAACTTCCTAACAATACGAATCATATGAATGGATATTATGTCAGTTTGTCTCTCAGTTCAATCAAAAGGAAAAAGATAAATATATCAAACAGCATCTGATATATTATAGTATACAATGGATAGTCAGACATAAAAGTCAAAGATTCTCCGGAAATTTATTCATCTATCAAACACTATGAAGTTATCTCCGCTGATCATTTTAGTAAAAAAGAAAAATTTAATTTGACAAATAAATGACTGTGCTAAAGGCAAAGTACCAAATAACCTCACATAATCTACCACTGAAGCTATCACAGTCATTGATTTGTCAAATAAAATTTTTTTTTTACTGAAATGATTAGCGCAGATAGTATCATAAAAGTCTAGATATGCGAAAAAATTTTCTGAGCATCATTAATTTTTATGACTGATTATCCATGGAAGTATTCAATTATAATGCTAAAATTATGAAACATTCTATGATTCTCGAGTACATTATCAACCTATGAATTATATATTATACTCTTAAACTCACATAAAGACATTCATGCAAGTAGAATATGAAAAAATTTCAAAATGATTACTTTACATATTCAGCTGTTGTATAAAATTGTTATGAACTAGTTCAAGTGTAGTATCTATCTTGAATAAATTCATAAATCATAGATCTCTCTTTCACATGTATCTTTCATCAAATTCTAATTTAAAACAAAGTTGATAATCATCATAAACACGAAAATAGTTAGGTCTCAATGTTTTTCTTTTTATTTGAATATAATGTTTCACTCCTACTTCATATATTTATCATATTATAAAACTAAATGATTCTTTTTTTTGTAATTGTAATTTTCATGTTGGTATCAATTTATATCGCGATATTGCATGAAAATAGTTAGTTTACAAGACTTTTCACTAGTAAAGATAAATTCGGATGATCAACACAATAAATCGCAAGCGAAGATAAAAGTGACAGGAAAAAGAAAAGAAAAGATTTTTTTTCAGAGTCTTCTATTGTTTATCTAACGACGTCGTCCAACGATGCCTGATCGCCATATACCTTGACTTAATGTATTTGATGATGCAGCTGAATTAGGTAATATTTCAGGATTATTGCCTTGTTCATCTTTTTTTGTGAATAACCAAAAACGTTTTCCTCGTAGATATTCCATAGGACCTAGAAAAAAATAAAAAGAAGAATATATAGATATTAAATATTTATTCTAGTATTTTTTGAATAACTTACGATTAGTTTTACTAGCCCAATCAAAATATCTTTCATCTGAATCAAAACGACTTTTACGAAAAACTGGATAAACTTGTTCGGAAAGTGTTTTTTTTATTGATCCATACTTATCGATTAGAGATGATATGTCATCAATCGAATGATGTTCCATTGCAATATTATTAATTGAGTCTTGATCAGGAACACTGAATGAATAAATTGTGTCTATTCAAATAAGAATAATCAATATTATTAGTTGATCAATTGTAAAGAAACCATAATACTTACTGGTAGTAATACACATGTAAACAATAAAAAGAAGAATGTTTATATAAGTTGAAGTCATCATAGATTGATAAAATTATTGTAAGAATTTATATAACGTTTATTTTTCTTTTTATATTACTAAAAAGTTTATAATTGAAAAAAGACGAGGTGTCAAGCTTGCTGACTTTGAAGAAAAAGTAGAATAAATGATTAAATGAACAAAGAAAAAATTTTTAATGCATCTTAAATATAGTTTTTTTATTGAGCAGATGTCAAATGTGTGACGTTATGAAACAGATGGTTACTAGAATCAATAAGCTAAAATAGAATTTATATAATTGAAATAATATGTAGACTTCCTTTTGTTGAAAACTACAAATATTTACAATATTAGTAAGAAAGAAAAGCTAATAGATTATTTAACGTCATAGTTCATGATTTTTTTTACAATATTTATCTATGATCTGATGAAATTTCCGTTGGTGAGGGTAAAGTTATGAGCAAGGTCAACGAAGTCGGGAATGTTGTTTTTAAATATCTTCAAACATGCGTAGTTCCTTAACAAACATACGCAGTTCCTTAACAAACATCCAACAAGTACAGATAACCTTCTATTATAATGATTTATTATGTATACGAACACATTTTTTTATATTTGATATCAATACTCAATTATTAACACTATGGTAAAAGCTTTCGTTTGATTATATAGATTTTTTCAATTGAAAAATTGAAGTTTTCATTGTCACACATATTGATCGAGTAGAAAGATTAAAAATAACAACTTCTTTAGTTATATTTAAAACCGTATTTTAGTCAATTGCCATCATTAAAATATTTTTCTTTCGTACATACAAGAGACAAAGATTAAGTATTGAACTGTAGTATTAAATAAAATAATTCTGTTAGTCATCAATAAAAATGTTTTCATCTAATTTAACTTTACATCGATCATCAACTGCAATATTGTATTGTAGTTCTTGAATTCGATCATTGCAATAATTTCTTATTTGATCTTGAGTATATTGTACGATACAATTCTTTTGTCCATATTATTCGAAGTAGCATGAGTTAGTATTAACGATGATTTTCTTTTTCTTTTCCTAATCATATTGATAAATCTACCTGTACTACTGTTTGCTGCTTCGATTCATGTCAAGAATCGATGATGTTATAGTACAGTAAAATATGTATTCACACTAACATGAAGAATTTAAAAAACAAGTTAAGACTATATGCTATTACAAGTCGAGATTCTTGACTAGTTCAAGTATATAGTGACAGTTAATTTTTCAGCTCGGTAATATTTGTAAGTTCATTTATGGAAAAATATATCTTAGTGTCCAATATCAGATTCACCTTGACTAATCTGGGATTTTCACTTTGAATTAGTCAAATATCGGATCGGAGAAGATGCTTTAGTTCCTATATAGATATTGAATTCGAATTCTTGCTGATGAACTGTGTTGAAACAGTAGCATTTCAGCTAATGTAATCATCGATGAAGAAATTAATGTAAGATTCGCAAAGTTATGAATAAGTTTCTATGGAAGAATAGCTTTTATGGTAATTATCCATAAGTGTTTGAATCCGAATTTAGTTTCTTTATTGATGATTGCAACATCTGAATGCCATTGTTTCAACACATTTCGCCGAGAAGAGTTCGGAACCAACATCTATCTAGAGACTAATAGATCAGCCTAGACGGATCTAAGATTTGATTGAATTCGAGATCGGACAGTGACATATACATATGAGTTAGAACTAAGAAGAATGTGTGCCACAATCTTTCTTTTTCATCAACACCCACATCCTATCCCCTCATAATTTCTATTGGTAAATATTTATTGTACTTGAGAAACAGTCAATAATTAGTACTAATGGATGATTTGATAAGGTTGAAAGAAACCTTGATGATATTCCAAAAAATTTTCCACTCACAAGTTCTGATTGCATCTAATACATAAATAGCTTATGATTTCTGATCCATGGCTAGTTGGCATAAAATGTTTTACATCCTTAAATAAGAAACTTAAAGCATCTTTCATTTTCCTATATCGTAAAGTAAGTTTTGAGTCTTTTTTTGAAAAAAGGCATTTTGATAAGAAATAAGATGTTTTTGAGAATGAGAACTTGTTGGTTGAATGAATATGTTGCTAAATTATAAAAAGCAAATAATTCAAATTTTATCAACGATGAAATTTCTCATAATGTAAATTAACAGCAAAATGATACTCCTATTTGTAACTTTTTCATAAACATACTTATGAATATTGTTGAGCTGAAAAATTAACTTTAACTATACACTTGAACATGAAAAAGGTTCATCTCTTTCGATAGCTTAATTTATGTTTTCAATTGTTGTGAAATTTTCAATTATTGAAGAAATTCATTTGAATTGTAATTAAAAAAAAATAATAATCTTATATAATGCAAAGAATTAAATATGTTCTTTTTATTAAATGTCAACTATTATTTTGTACATATAGAATATATTCTCTATTTCAAAGTTACATTAATATATAGAAGAAAAAAAGATATTAAAGAACGTCAAGTGCTTCAGTCATCATTTGAATTATTTTATTTTTTGTTTGTTCATGCTAAGCAAAAAACAATTTAGTAAATATTTAAAAATAAAATGTTAACTTACTTGTTGTCTAGCTGTTTCGACACGTTTTTCCATTGTATATACATCTTTATATAAATTTGGATCATCAACAGATCTCTTTATCAATTCATATGCAACAGTAGTACGTTCAAATTCAGCTGTACGTTTATCAAAATTTTCTTTTTGTTGTGCTAATTCACTAAATTAAAATTCAAACACAATGAAAACAGATTTTCTTTTTTGTAAAATATTTCAACTAACACTTGAGCATTTGTAAGCATTGTTGTAAATGATGAATCATCTTCTGTACCAATTGGATTAAGTACACGTAATTTTTCTGTTGTTTCTCTTGTACTATCAATATCTCGTGTAAGACGATCAATATTACTTGAAAGATTTCTATTAAAATAAGAATCAAATATAAATATCAAAATATAAATAAATATTCTTACTGAATAATAATAGCACGTGGTGTAAGTCCATCAAGTTGTTCACACATTGTTTTAACACTTGTAATAGCTGGTTCTAGGACATTATGTTGTTTATCATCTTGTAATTGACGAGCATGTTTCATTAAATGAATTTCATTTTGTAACTATATTAAATTAAATTATTCGTTTTCTTTTCTTTTTGAAGAAATTTCTAAAGAAATACATACTTTAGCATTTTCTTTAAGATAATTTCCATTTTCACAAAGAATATCATTAAGTGATGAAACCATTAATTGACTTTCTAATAATTTTTCACGAGCTTTTAATGCTTCTAATGTACTATCAAGTTCATTCTAAAGATAAAAAAAAAGCACATAGAAAAAAATTTTGCTTGAAACCTTGATTTTCATACATCTGTTTTTTCTAACGTAGCATAATTATTTTGTGTTCGAGTAATATCAGCATTGAGTTTTTCAATTTGTTTCATTGTATCTACTTTAATTCCTGTTTGTTTTTTAATTTCAGTTTTATACTATGTAAAGAAAAAAAAAATCTATTTATAGATTTTTCTATTCTATTATTTTAAATAGATCTTACTAATTCAATTTGTTCTTTATTTGAAGCTATTTCTTCTTGATAAAAATTTATTTCATTACTCATTTTTTTTGCTTCCATTCGTAATGCTGCCTAAAAAAAAAAAGACATAAACTATTCGTATAATCAATAAAGAATTGATTTACATCTTCGTTTTGAAGAGCTTCAATTGAACCCATAGTTCGTTTAAATAGAAGTAAACAATCAGCTAATTGATTCAAATGCATAAGACGTTCTTCTTGATCTATTTTAGTAACAATAATGTAACAAAAAAAAACTTAAAAGTCTATGAATAAATTTCAACATACTCGACACTGTAAGTAGCCAAAGACCATAATGACCTTCATCTGCTTCGGCTTCCTCATTTTCACAATCCGCAATTGTATGTAAAAAATTTCTATTAAATTAAACAACGAAAATAAAAATGAATTTCTTATCATGGAGGGAAGGCGAAAAAAAACATTCATTACAAAAAACAAGCAGCTGCTTGAAGACGATCAATCGATGCTTGTTGTTGTGTAGTAAAAAAATCGCCAAAATAAGTACTTGTAAGTTCAAATGCTAAATCTTGTAATTTATCTGTCTAAATAAAATTTCATGTGTTTGCATATGAATAATTATAAATAAGAAAATCTACTTTTTCAATATCAGCCCATGTATATTTCTTTTTTGAATCAGGTAATAATTGTCGAATTTTATCGACAAGTTGTTGTTCTCTATTAGATCCCATTGTTCTTTAAAAGAATGAATACAAAAAAAAAAAGAGAACAATTGATTGATCTGACAAGTAAAGTCTTTGTCGTGCCTCATGGACGAATTCAATTGGTTCGTTCGTTTTCCTTCTTCAATATTGAGACTAATGATAGTTAATCATTAGTGACATCTTAAGTCTGATTGAATAAAAAGTTTTTCATACGGAAGCTAAAGTTAATTCGAGACAAAAACGAAATATTGCATAAAATAAGAAAATATCACTAATTAAAGAATACCAAATTCGAATTGAAATTTGGAAAGATGGAACGCAACAAAAAATACCTACATTTTATTTCAATTTGCGCTACAATTATATATGTTTAGGCTATGTTTTATGAAAATCAGTGGTATAAAATGGTGTAAGATACCTTGAATCGAATTAAATAGAGTAATCTTTTAATATTTTACACAGAAAAATAGATATTAAAAGCATTGTTTCGTAATTTATGATGAGATATTCTAATATAATTGTATATGTATATACAGAAGTGATGCCTTATAAAAAAAACGAAGAATTCCGAATCTAACGCGAAAAAAATGTTTATCATTCCATTGTAAGTTTATTTTTAGGAAAGAAACTAGTATTTTTGTTTCTGAATTCGAAAGCAACGCATTTTCTCACTCAGGTATCTTGTATTTACGGATTCAGTCTCTTGCTTAATTTTTTCAAAAAACGTAGCATTGTAAGTTTTAACTTTTGAAGTCTTCATAGTAATAATGCTAAAAGATACCTGTTGTTGCATTTATCTCAGGTTCATGTCGATCCAAATGTTGCGCATGCTGACACTCTATGATCCGAAACAAGAACCCTACTGTGTATGGAACAAATAAGCGTAATATATTGGGTTGGCCAGAAAGTTTTTGCGTTTTTTTTTTTGAAAATTTTCTTTTTATTTTTTAACTTCAAGAATACAATTACCTTTCAACAATGTAAGCTTCATTACTGTCTATAGCTTGTTGCAAACGTTCTGGTAGAGAAAGGATTCCGCGAGCATTCTAGGTGATACTTCCAGCATCGTAGGTGATGCTTGTAGAATTCTATGTGATGCTTCCAGCATCCTAGAGGATGCTTGTAGCATTTTAGGTGATACTTGTAGCATCCTATGGAATGCTTGTAGCATCATAGGGGATGCTTGTAGCATCGCAGACAATACCTGTCGATATTAGATGATTCTGGTGGCATTCCAGCCGTTGACTAATTGAGTACTTGAATAGTTGAATACTTGAATAGTTGAACTAATAGTTGAATACTTGAATTCAACTTTCAAGTTTGACACTACTGAAAATGCGCAAATTATTTAAATGATTTCGGACATTGTTTACATACAAATTGTCTTTCATTGGTATGTATTTTCTTTTCACAATGGATATGGTACAGATTTATGACTGCAACCATGAACTACATTTGTATCTATTAGTGTTGTTTCCATGTAGATTGAAAAGTCCAACAATGAAATTCAAAATAAAGTTTATTTTTATCAAAAAAAACAAGAGACAATATGTTAGTTGAGAATATAGAAATAATTGACGATGTTATCAGTAGGAAGAAGAAGTAATTGTTCGATTTAAATGTCAAAGAATAGCTTATGAAACATCTGTCTTACAATTAAAAGACCACAATCAAATACTTTTCATCATCCATTAACTAATGATGTTCCATTTCGATGTTAAATAACTATTAGATATATAAATTTTAAAGTTAACTATACTGATGTCACGTTCATCATCATGTTATTAACCAAGAAAACTCATTCTTATTTTTTCAAGTATTCTTATGTCAGTTGAAATCTTATGAATACAGCTGATTTGAATTTAGTTTATTCAAATAATTTTTATTTTACAATCATAGGTAGGCAAATGAGAAAGAAATAATAACATGGTGATACATAAACGAAAAATGACAACATGATGAATTATATTTAACACTTAGATTAATTATGTCTCTAGAAGATCGCCAAAGTTATTTAAATAATAACTTGAATTATGTGTTATTTCTGAGAGTTGTATTTGATGGAAAACGAGGTAATATTTTATGTCGAATTAATCGATTAAACTCACGTCTGAATAATGATGACGATAAAGTATAGACAAAAAATGTTAATGAAAATTCAAGATAAATAAAAAGATAACTCATATTGCTAATAAATGATTCAACTGTTAAACGAAGAGGTGATTTTGTATCATTTATTGTTATTGTTTGATAAAGAAGATAACAAGGATTGGGAATATTTAAAATAATCCAAAGACATATTTGATTAAATAACATTTTAGAAAATTGTAAATCTTTTCTTGACATTCTAGTATATTGTCCAGGTCGAACAACATCACCTACTGTTAATGATCGTGTTTTTCGTTTGCTTTGTCGAATATTATTTAGTGTAAGACATTCAAAAATGAGCATCATCAGTGGTGGAAGGATTCCACTTTCAATCAATAAATAGACACTAAAGATAATACCGTAAATACCATTTCTAAATGAGCAACCATTCTTTTGAATTTCATAGAAAATAAGAACTTGAATGTAAATTAAACACCAAAATAAACAACTACCAATGATTAATCGCATAGCAATCTTTGATGAACTCCATCGACGCCAATAAATATCAGGAGAACTAGTAAAATAACGATCGATTGATGCCAAAATTATATAATAACGTGGAATAGCAACAGAAATATAGAAAAAATAAAAGCGAATTTTACAATACCAAAGGAAAGTATTAACTGCTTGAATATTGAAACCCATGTAAAGTATTCTTGTGAGAAGAGCAAAATTGAATGTTAAAAATTGAGAAGCACTCGATGCTAGTAAATACATAACACATGGATTCTTACGAAGATTTGGTTGATAAAAGATAAAACAATTGATAGTTGATCCAAAATTTCCGATAAACCAAATAAGACTCATACCATATCTTGAGATATTCTGATTGAAAAGAGTAATAATTCCGTACCAATATGCCTCCTGATCAGTAATATTGGAGTTGGTAATGTTTGACATTTGCAATGAATATGTTTATAAAGTTTTAATAAAAACCAAACATGCAGTGCGAATTTGAAGTTTTATTACTGAAATTTATAAAATAAAATTTTGATTTTGTGAAAAAAATCTCTATGAATTTACTTTTAACTAGATATATGATACAACAACGTATGAAAATAGTGCATCTTAGTTTAACTAATCGATAAAATAACTAAAGAGAATGGCCTCTATATATTCAATACATTTCGTGAGTCAGTGCCTCAAGTCTTACTGATGTTTTTTCAGGGATATTTATAAAACGAACTACTGATTATTCTTGTGAAAAATTTCAAGATTCAAACGTAGACAATGATTCCTCGTTAAGACATAGTTTAAAATGTTTAATTTTTCGTGTATATATTCAACAACATGACTCTACTTCTACGATAAAAACGCGTGTTGTTGAAATTCTAACACACTCTGCACACTTTATATATTGCTAACTCAAAATGCAATTATCAAAAGATCTTTTAGAATACAATCATCCACCATGAATAATTGTTTCAAGTTCTCTTCTTATAATTGCACACATCATAGAATGTCTTTCTAGGTCGATTATAACTTATTCTAAAAATGAAAGTAAATAAGAATAGATGCAACTATATTCAGACGAAATAAATGTTCTATGATCAAAATCAAAATGAGAATGAAAAGTAGACATTCCAAAATTCATTACCAAGAGAATTCTATTAGCAGCTATGAACATGTTTTTTAATGAAGACTATTAATTGAACACTCTATTCTTTCTGATTCATTATATATCATCAGCTTTATTTGAACCTGTCTTAGCGATAAGCAAAGAGAGCGATGACTAACTTTTGTTGTTAACTTCGTTTTAAGTATCTCGAAGATTGAAAAAAAAATTTGTCTTGATCAGGCACTATTTATAAGGGAACAGAATGTCCTCGGAAAGATTAAAAAAAAAGGTATCAGTTCTGTCACTGTACTTTCATTTCACGTTTGAACACATACTTTCTGAGCTTCCGTTCTTGAGATAATCGCAAGACAAAAAGGATAATTTTTGGTGTATACCTCGAAGAAATGTTGTGCTTCGCACAACGCGCACTACAAAGATCTGAGCAATAACTTCAACTGAAGCTCATAAATAGAGTCAGTCCATTAATTTTCAAGATAATCACAAATATGCATATAACGTCTCTCTCTCTATTTCATCTCATTACAGCTAAAAAGAATAAAGATGATGACAAACTATATGGGATGTCCAGCAGAGCTTCCCTGGACCGTCTCGTGCTGTCCCGCGCCATTGCTCACGCTGAGGCGTGTTTCAGGCTTTTTTTCTTTTTCTAGGTTATGCAAATGTTTTTCAATCGCTAATTAGTGCCTTCAGTACTCTTCTAGGACTCGTCAAATGATGAGATAAATGGGTATACCCTCCACATAATTTCAAGCGGCTTCGCATAGGTGTGCACTATAGCACGTGATGGGACAGTACTTGTCTCGTGGAGCTCTGATGTACAGTAAGTCACGAAACAAGAAAAAGAAAATCGAATATCTCCGTCATATTTTGACCAAATGGGCTGATATATTTGTACTACTGATAGAGCAGTATTCAGAGATCATATTCATAAGTGAAGAGTTGTCAAAAATTGTTTTAAAATATCACAGTTGACTCTAACAAGAAACTCTAATGTTTTACTGACTATGGAAAAACAATACATTTATTTGCTTAGCCAAGAATAAACGACATCTAATTTTTTCTATTAATTCTCCTCACTAATATTCTTTAGTCTATTATTTGTTTCACAGATTCTTGTCTTCTTATTCAGTGTACGCTGAAAGTTTCAGCCATACACAGCAAGAAATTTGTTGAGAAAACTGCAATGTTGGTTTTTCATAACTCGTGGAAGGTTACAGTTCTATGTTGAGATCAGTTGTGATACTTCAAGACAGTTTTTGATAACGCTTCACTTATGAATATTATCTATGAATATTCGTCTATCAAAAGTAAAAATATCAGCTCATGTAGTCAAAATATGACGAGGAATATTCGCTATTCTTTTTCTTGTTTCGTGACTTACTGGACGCCCTATATATAACTTGAATTAAGTGAATAGTTCTATAGTCTTCTTTTTTATAATTCTGCATGTCATTCGACTATTGTCAAAGACATTAATGTCAAGGAATTAAATTTGAAATAAAAGCCAAAAAACACATATTGATCATCTATTTTAAGAGACTAAAAGTAAATAATTCTTGATGTATCAAGTTAACATTGAATTCATTTATATCAAAAATAGAACGAAGAATAATACAGGGTGGCCTAAAAGTCACACACTCAAAAAAAAAATTTTGAATATCTCTATTACGGCTAGAGCAAACTAGCTGATATTTTTATCAATGCTAAAGACGTGTTCAAGATTTATATCCAAGGGGGAAACGGCGGACTTTTGGACTTGAAGTTACTTTGAGCTACTTTAAGCTACTTCAAGTTACTTTCAGCTACTTGAAGTAGCTTACTTTGAAGTATTTTTCAACTTCAAATTTACCTGAAGTTATTTGAAGTTACTTTAAGCTACTTGTTCCTACTTTGGGCTACTTGGGTGGTACTTTGAGCTACTTCAAGTAGTCTACTTTGACGTACTTTGACGTACTTTTCTACTTCAAGTCCGCCGTTTCCCCCTTGTTTATATCCATAAAGACATGCCTAGAGAAGTCATTTTTTAAGTATTACTATTGATCGTAACAAAAAAAATTTCCTTTTTTTTACAGATAAACAAAACAACATACATAACAAAGGACCTCTCTAGACATGTCTTCATGGATATAAATCTTGAACATGCCTCTAGTGTTGATAAAAATCAGCTAGTTTGCTCAAGCCGTAATGGAGATACTCAATTTTTTTCGATTGCATGACTCTTAGATCATCCTGTATTACTTATTAAATTGTTTCATTAAATAAATAGTATATCAGAACAAGTCAAAGAAAGTGTGCTTCGATAATACTTATTCTCATAATCCACTTATGTCAATAGGAGTCAAAATAAAATAAACTTTTAATTACAAATAATCGAATTCAATACAGTAATGTCAATTAGTTGTGTCGGTGTATATGAATCTGATGCTTAAAATACCACGAATGCATTGACTGCTTGTCCTAAAATTGAATATAATTTTGTAAAATCATCTCGATTTGCCATTGCCAAAACTGTTAGATATGATGCAACTAAAAATTCTTCTAAAATTTTATACATTCTAATTGTATTATTTTCTGAACTAAAAAGGTTTCATAGTATCATCATGATTTCCTTCATTACTATAACAAATTGTATAACAATCAATAACAAAATGAACATATTTATTTTGATTATGATATAAAAGAGATTTTTGCCATTCATGACCATAGAGTTGTATAAGATTTTGTATAATAATGTGAACCTAAAGCAAAATAAGCGTATGATACATTAAATACTATTTGAGTTGTTGGAATATTGAAAATAACAGTGTATTCTTTTGATGATTGACTTGATTTTTAATATTCATCATAGATTAATCTTGTTATAGTAAGGAAACGAATATATTTCAATGATTCTGATTGTGAAAATTCTAAGACACGTCTCAATGATGTTGTTTATGAAATTTCAATTAGATTATAAACTCTTTTTGCATTTCTTCGAATAAAATTTCTTTGATATTTTCATATAATATTCTCTTATCATTTTAAAATTGATCTAGAACATAATAATGTGCTTCTTCATATTTTTCGAGTCTCAGATGAGATCAATAACTAATGAAACATGGAAACGACCAAAATTTGTAAAAGTTTTTGTGGCAATATGACAGCATGGTATAGTATTAAATATCAAATGGATTTACTGAAATATAAGTTAATGTCATATGATTATCATGATCTGAATCAATATCTGTATATAAGAATGAAAATGTTTCAAATGTAATAGGCTAATCGAACTGATATTTTTTCTTCATGAAACGGATGCAATGAGACTAGTAGAAGTCAAAAGAAAGAGCCGTATTCATGACACATTCAAATAGATTTTTAAACAGTTCACTGTGTTTTCGTCCTCTGAGTGCGTCAATTATAAAAGATCGTCTTACGAACTTCTGAACTGAAACTAAGCCCATAAATAGATCTCAAAGACTATCAAAATGTTCTCAAAATTTCAGCTCAAACAAATATTTTCTTCTTGAAATATTGAATATTCGAATTATAGTTTAATGTCATTGGAAAGACGTTCAGAGTGGACTTTTCTTGAGCATTCAATATCTCAAGAAGAAAAAACTCCATTTAACTGAATATATCGAAAGACTCTAGTAACTGCAAGATATGTCTCTGGACAAAATATTAGCTTAACAACTCTTAGGATGAATTTTTTTCAATGTCCTACTCAGAGAACAAAAATTCGATAAAGTAGTTATAACTTTTGATGTATATGGCATGAAGACGAATCTTTTTTAGGTTTTCTATTGAGCAGTAAATTATCAACTTGATCGATGTGTTGCACTCACAAATATTCTATCGTACGACTATCTATCGATAAGCGCTTATTTTACTGAATAAAATACATGAAATATGCCAAGAAATCTGTTGAAATTAGTACACTATTTTGATGAGAATTTCAGTGATACCAAATCAGTAGTTTCGATTGATAAATCAAATTTAAATTCTATGACTGTGTAACATTTCATAGAAATTCAACAAATCTTTTAAGAATTAGTCACCTGCAGAAATAGATATAGCTATTTGATTTTCTTTTATTTCTGTACCTTAAGCAAAGAGAAAAAAAAATCAAATATCAGTGCAAAATTATGAACCATATTGGAAAAAAAAACAAATATTTGTCTTAGATAAATCCTATAATATTAAACAGGTAAAATTTCAAAGATCGATTTTTGCTGCCATCTAATGTTGAAACATGTCGTATAGTCGATGATTTTTCCTTTTCTCGTTTAAATTTTGAAAGTTGGAAGAATTACAGTAAACTATTTGAACTGCACAGGATTGATTGAGGCAAGTTGTTTTTGCCATTTTTTTTTCGTTTTCTATTAGTTTTTATAAAGCGAACATTAACAACAAATTTTTCATGACATGATATCTTGTCCCTAATTTTTATGTATAAAAACAGTTCTACATAAAATAAAATGATATAATTCCTTATAGCCTTATCAACAAAGTAAAAGCAGTAAAATCAATTCTTCTCTTTCATACTGTTCCATGAGACAATATTTTAAGTTAAAGTTGTTTCTAAGCAAAAAAAATATTTATTAACATTTAAATTAATGTCTTAGTGTACTTCAAAGATGTTAAATATGCAAATATTAGCTCGCTAAAAGATTGTGAGTCAAATCAATGGCATCTAACTTTCGAGTTAGGGTCTTTAAAAAAAATGACTATGATCCGAGTCATGATTTGGACTGGACCATTTCTGATTTTCATTTTTCAACATTCACACTGATTGAAGTTTTTATCATGATTTCTTTTTCATAATTCTTTTTCTGAATCTCAAATGCATAAACAACTAGTCGATTTTCTGTCGCGTGAAATTAAAAGTAATCCTGAGATTAAACAATTCATCTAAAAATAATCGGCATATTATTGAATAAAAATCAGTGAACGGGAAATATTACCGTTAAAAAAAAAGAAAAGAAAATTATATTGCTTCTTTGCCTGACATGGGAGATTTTTCGATTTGCTTTACCTATAAGTCTCTTATACGGCACTGAAGTTTGAGATATAACTTCGATCATTTATTGTGATCAATCATTATTGAAAATATCAGCATCAGAAAACTTCTAGCTTCTGACTAAAAGAAAAAATGGTATCAATGTATCATGTCAGATTATAACGTGCATGACATTTCACTATTAAGATCAAAGTAAATATACTATATTTGTTCAGTTCTTATCGTAAATGCTATGAAAGTTACTGTAACCTGATTCTAAATTGACTCTTATAGAAGTTATTTTGTGTAGTTGACGTCACATCATGAATATATACTATTAGTTTTATGTAAGTGAGATTTATTAAAATTTGAGTGTCAATTGTTTTACTGTGACACGTAAACAATGTTTTTTCTGTCAATAATTTCAAGTATTTTTATCAAGTTTTGCAAACCTCTTATATCTCTGTAGTTATTCGACGTATATGCGGAAAACTAATATTCAGACATTTTTATGAATTTTTAACGATTTTCATATAGCTCGACTATACTAATAGTAGTAATTGAGGAAGACGTATTCGTTTTCTCGTCTCATACAGTACAGTGAAATGCACTAATTATCGTCTTTCAAATCGAAAGTTTTTTTTTCAAAACAATACACTCGTATGTATATATTTAAAAAAATTTAATTTTTTCTCCTTTTATAGATACTCCTTTGAACTTGATTTTAATGATTACAATGTGAAAGTTTTCATTTCGTAAAAACTAATACCTATTTCAAAAAAAGCAAGACGGGTAGGAATTTTATTAGAAGCTTTTGATAGAAACACGATAGAGAGCAGCGATTTTCACCGTTAGAAAGAAGAGGTGAATACTCATCGAATCATATATCAAAAGTTTTTTCGACCTGATTTTTTTAAGGTTTTCAATTAGCTTCTTTGGAAATTAACGTATCTTGTGAGATGAATATAGTGAATTTTCCATTCTCAAATGTGCATCAGAACCACCAATAGACAATCTACAAAACTACAGAAGAATCTCAGATTTTTTAATTTAGTTATTCAGGAGTCATATAGGTATTTTAGTTAAAATTCTCGATCACTAAATAGTATCATGAGTGTAAAAATAATGCATCAAATATAATCGAAGATTATTAAATAAGAAATAATCAATTGTGTTATAATGCCATTTGCAATAAATGACAATCTGTTGATTGTAATATATATATATATATATATTTGTGCTGAGTGATTTATTATACTTAAATAACTTCATTTGAAGACATTTATAGTTGTTTACTAGTGTCATCTATAGAAAGAATTTTTTTGTCAGTCAAACATCTATACTCTTAAACAGGTTAAAAATCCTTCAGTTGTTTATACTATGTCTAAAGTAACAATTGTTAACGGTTTTTTTTTATTTGAATAAATCCATAGTTATCCATAGTCTACATATCTCACACCCTATTTACTCACCAACGGTCAACTTCTTTACTCACTCCTTTAGTTATTTGTCTTCGTTTAGTTAATAGATAGATTTCAAACTATGGACAATTCTTTATCATCACCTCGTAAAAATGAAGTTGTTGAAACTATGTTTAAATCACTTAATTCATATACAAGTGAATTACAACAAGGTATATTTATTTATCTTCTTTATTTTATTTCGAAAAAAAAATTTAATTTTATTAAAGAATTAGAAATACTCAATCGAAAAGTTACTGATCAAATTCGAATTGAACAAACTTATGATACATGTCACGAACAACGTATGATTCACATTTAATACATTTCTTCTGTTTATTAAATTTTTTTTCTTTCTTATATACAGTTCAAAATGATTTGATCAAATTACGTGCAGCTATTGAAACTAATGCTGGTATAATAATCTTTTTTATTTTTACCTTATTCTTTTCTTTCAGACAATTTTTCTTTTATCTATCAGTCAAACGATCAATATTTGATCGTAATTTAAGCGAACGAACAACCATGTCTCAATCGTATGATTAGAATTTGAATAGGACAAAAAAAAAACCTTGAACAATTGCATGCTAGGAGTGTTATTTTTTTTTTCTTTTCATTTATTAAAATATTAAACAATTCAGTTAAGAATTTATTTTCATTGAATTCTAGGTTACATTCTCAAATTGTCGAAAAACGTCAAGAACAAAATATGATTATTGATAAAACAAATCTAGCTAAATATAATCATCATCGAAATATGTTAGAAGAAAAAAATTTATTATTCTTTTGAAAAATTTAAATCGGATTTTTTTTTGTTTTTAGTGCTAAAATAACTGAACAATGTGGAAATTTAACAATAGCTTTTCGAACAAATTATCATGCATATGTAAGATTTATTTATTTCAAAAATTTTTTTTATAAAACGAACTATTTCATTTTTTTTGTTAGGCTCGAGCAGATCTTGAAGAAATTCGAAAAAAGACTGAAACTCGATTGAAGACAGTGTCTGATGAAGGTATTTATTTAGGATGTCAATAGTTTGGAATTTGAACAAAAATTTTTTCTTGTCACGGTTGGATAGAATTCATCGAGTTACTTATAAAAATCAAAAAAAACATCAAGTTTCTATATTTATCTGAATTTTTTAATGATTTTTGAAAAATATTTTTAAGGAAGTCGATTTTTTTAGATAAGGTAATACAACGCTATCAAAACTTCATTTCTAAATGAAATAAATATCATATTTCGAATCCACACAAAAATCTCCATCGAATAGTATACTCAAAACTAATTTTCGGATCATGTTTTGATACTCTCAATGAAACTTCTCTAATCGAAATTGAATAGTCGCAGCGCATCATACATATTTCTCAGAGAACTAGAGTCCATCGGATTGACAATTTTCAGATTCAATCCGACGGGCTCTATCCTTCATTGTTAGTTTCGAGTATACTATTCGATGTAAGTTTTTGTGTTAATTCTAAATATGAGACTATTTTTATAGTGCTTTACTATCTTACCGAAGAAATCGTCTTTCTTAACTTTTCAAAAACCATGCATAATTTTTTTCCTAATTATATGACGAGTAAAATCAAAGAAAAACTTCGAATAGATATTAAGGGTTTCTGATTGATTGACTTTTTGAAATTTTTAAACCTAATTAAATGTTACTCAAATTTCGAATTTTTTTTTGTTTAGTGACTAATACTGAATTAACTGTTGTTAATTATAAAGATAAATTAATTGAATTAAATAAAAAACTTGATCGAGAAATAATTCATTTTAATTGTTTAAAAGAATCAATTGAAATAATTGCGTATGAAAATAAATATTTCGAAAAAAGAATTTTCTAAAAATTAATTTTTTATAATATATAGAAAAAAACTTCAAATAGATTATGAAGATATAATGAATTTTGATAATCTTGAAAAACAATTAATTGATATACAAACATTAATCAATGAATTAGAAGCTTGGCATATTCGAACAAGTAATTAGAAATAAAAGACTAACATATTTTATTCTAAACAAAAATTATTTTTTTTATTTCTAGATTATCCATCGCAAGAATAATAATCATGTTTTTTTTTTTTTCACTTTTGATTATAAATAAAAACTTAGATTTAGATAAATAATTAGGACATTTCTCATGTTTTTTTTTCTTTTTTTTTTTGTTTTTTGATTTGAACAAACAAAAAAAAAAACAAAGTAACATGGCTCATACTTCGGATGAAATGCGACAATATCGTGAAGCATTTTCATTATTTGATAAAGATCATGATGATATAATAGCACCACAAGAACTTGGTATTTAAAAGAGAAAAACAAATCTCTCTATTTTATTTAAGTGAAATATTTTGTTAATATTCAAATTTAGGTATTGTTCTTCGTTCATGTGGTTTATCACCATCGGAAGCTGATTTACAAAAAATTCAACAACAAGTTGGTAGAAAAATTGATTTCGATACATTTGTACGAGTAGCACAAACATTTAAAGCAAATAATCGTGAAACAGAAGATGATATACGTGAAGCATTTCGTGTTTTTGATAAAGATGGAACTGGTTATGTTAGTGTTGCTGAACTTAAACATGCAATGATATCATTAGGTGAAAGACTTTCAGAAGAAGAAGTTGATGAATTAATACGTGAAGCTGATATTGATGCTGATGGACGGTAAATTAGAGAAAATTTTTCTTTTTCAAAAATTTTCTATTGTTAAATTTTTTTTTTCTCTTCTAGTTGTAATTGTGAAGATCTTGTACGAATTTTAACAAATAAACAACGTTGAAACGTGTTACTTTTATAAATATTAACGATGAACAGACATCGATACATTCCATTTAATCGCTTTGTTTTTTTTTTTTGTTTGTCATCTTTATAATTCATATGCATTCCTTTGGCTTTTTATGTTTAATTAACATTAACTATAATTTAATATGGTTCTTTTTAACTTATATATTTGTTGCTATTTAGTCACTTTGTGAATGATAAAGAAATAAATACATTCTTTTTTTCTCATTCCATCATATAATTCTTTATTTGATTTACAGATGATAATTATGTATTAAGGAAAAAAAATGTTATCGAAAAATTTCTTTAGGTGAGTTTAGTTGATTTTGTTTTTTATAGTTTCATATATAATTAAAGTTATTTTAATAGATTTATTAATAATTCATGTAATAGAAAATATCAACAAATATTCTCTTGTCATGCTAGTACGGTATGTGAGAAGAATGAGAAATTAATAATGATTATTTCTTTTATCCTTGTAATGATAGACATCGAAAATAAATGGAAGTAATAATGAATTTAATACTGAACAAAAAGAAAAGATTATTCCAAAAGATGATCTTTTTTCATTTATTGTTCAATGTATGATGAAAGTTGGCACACGTCCATCACATGCTGAAGTATTAGCAGATAATTTAACTATGGCTGATTATCGTGGTAAATAATATAAGATATTTATTAGTAAAATTAGATTTTGTAAGAATTGTTATTTTTTCTCTTGTATTATAAAACAGAACATAGTAAAATGTATTAATAATCAAATAAAGTTAAATTTGATCTCTTGTATTCAAAAGAAAAGATTCTCATAGAGACGTCTAATTATGCCGAACGATTGTTTTTCTAGTGATCAAATCATTGAAGACTTTTTTCTTTCGTCTCGGACATGTATTATTATCATTGAGTCACCAACACGTCTATTACGTTACTAGTTTAAAAAGAGTACGAATGAACCTGACTTTTATCTATCATATCAACTAATTAAATAATTTCAATTATTTCCCAAGGTGTGAAGTATCTAAAATTTTCCATGTCACACGTTTGCTCGAACTACTGAGGTATTTATAAGAACTGATGATTTACCAGTAATAGTGCTTAGAACTTTCGGTTTCAGTTCTAAACGATTGTAAAGAGTGTTTTCTATCTGAATTTGAATTAATTATTAGAAAGAATTGAAATTAACTGAGAAGAAAATAGTTTCAAAAATATTTTATTAATAAAAATTGTTGCAGTGCCATCTATAATAAAAATTTGTCTCATAACCAGGGTCGATTTGGGCTCTCTAGCTAGTACAAATGCATTAATATAATCAGAGTATATGGAAAACGACTTAATGCTGGCAGCTTTAGCATTAAAAAAAATATTCATCCGTTTATACAATACTTTCAAAAAAATACTGGGGATAGGTTTTCGATAGTTATTGTATGGGTTTATTCATTCTACAATATTTTATTTTATTTTATGGGTTTGAATAATATTTTTGAAGAAAAAACTTCTTTATAATGATTGAAATAACAGAAAAAAAAAACATGAAAATCAATAACTTTGTATTCACGTCTTTGTCTTCATCTCTGTCAATATATATATATACAGAAATTTCAATATTTCTGGCTTTTATTAAGTTATTGATGACCATATATCTGAGAAATCGAATGTTATTGTCTGTGATTTGAAAACAATTCTATGAATTAATTTGTATTAATTAGGTCATTATAGTCATGGGCTTAATCGACTTGATATGTATGTTAATGATGTCAAAACTGGAACAACAGCAAAAGATGGTTTGACTATTCTTTTTTACTAAAGATATATTTTTCATTAACTATCAATTGTTCAATAGGAAATCCAATAATTCTTAAAGAATTACCTGGAACAGCATTAGTCGATGGACAAAATTTAATAGGACCCTATGTTGGTAAATATTGTATGAATATAGCAATGGAAAAAGCAAAAAAAGTTGGTATTGGATTAGTTTCTGTTCGTCGTTCAAATCATTTTGGTATCGCTGGTTATTATTCATTAAAAGCTGTTGATAAAGGTCTTATTGGTTGGGCAGTATGTATTTCATTTGTTTGTTGATATATGTAAAATTATCTTTTAAGTTTACTAATACAAGTCCACTTGTTGTACCGACACGTTCAAAAGCGCAATCATTAGGTGAGATTCTTTTTTTTGTTTTCTTTCTTAATGAAAAAAAATTTCATAATTATATATTTCTTTTTCTTTTTATAGGAACAAATCCAATGTGATAATGAGTTTAATATTAATGATTAATTGTTATAATTTAATTTTTATTTTATAGAGCATTTGGTGCACCTGCTGAAAATAATGATAGTTTTGTACTTGATATGGCTACATCAACTGTCGCATTAGGCAAAGTTGAAATAAGTCAAAGACGAGGTGAGGAGATTCCAAACACATGGGGTGTTAATGCACAGGGTTTGTGTTAAATAATTTTACTTGCTAAAACTTTTTTTTCTTCTTTTTTTTTAAAGGTATTCCAGTTACAAAACCACAAGAAATACAAGGTCTATTAGCTTTAGGTGGTCCTGAAGAATCATCTGGTTATAAAGGTTATGGTTTAGCAATGATGGTTGAAATTTTATGTGGAATTTTATCAGGTAGATAATGTACTTGTATTAGTTATTGATATTATATAATTTGTTTTGTATTTATTGATAGGTAGTCATTTCGGACCATGGGTTCGTTCATGGAAAGTAAATACAACTGAAGCTAATTTGGGACAATGTTTTATTGCTATTGATCCAAATGCATTTGAAGATGAATTTGGAAGTCGTTTACAGAAATTAATTAATTATTGTCGAGCATTACCACCTTCAGGTTAATTATTAGCAATTTTTATTTTCTAAATTATTTATTTTTCAATTTGATTTATTCAGAATCTGGTAAACCAGTTCTTATTGCTGGTGATCCTGAACGAGTTCATATGGCAAAATGTGAGAAACTTGGTGGTATTCCGTATCCTCAATCACAAATTGATTACATAAATGAATTAGCACGTACATTAAAAGTCGATGTACCTAAAATTCAATAAATGATTCGTTATTTGTTTTTTTGTTTTTTTATACAACTGATTTTCTATTTTGCAATTAAAGCTTACATATAGTAGCATTGGATCAAGTAAATTCATATGCAAAATGTCATAGTGTTTGTTTTGTTTTTTTTTTGTTATATCTTCTATATGATTGTTTCTTTTTATACAAGAAAAGATTTACTTAATAAAACACGTAATTTTTCTTAATCATAAGATTATAATATTTACTCTTATATATAGATCATTAAAAATTTTTTAAAAATTATAAAAAAAAATTTAGAATAGATTATGTCATCTCGTCGTTTATCTCGTAGTCAAAATATAATTCCAATACATTATGATGTTCATTTAACAACTGATCTTGATTCTGGTCAATTTTGTGGTTCAGTTAAAATAGATTTAATTATAAAACAACATGATCAAACATGTATAAAACTTGATGCATCTCATTTAATAATTGATCTATCATCAATTTCATTAATATTAATATCATCATTAACTAAACTTGAATGTACAGTTGAAACAAATGATTTAAATGAAATTCTTGAAATACGTCTTTTAAATGAAAAAACATTTTCTTTCGATATACCATATCGTTTAATTATAAATTCATTTTCTGGTCATATAACAACACAAAATCAAATTGGTTTTTATCGTTCAACTGTTGATATATTATCATATAATGATAATAATTCAAATGAAACATGTATTATAAAAAAACATTATGGTATAACACAAATGTCACCAACACATTGTCGTCGTGTATTTCCATGTTTTGATGAACCATCATTACGTGCTACATTTGATTTAACACTTGATATACCACGACATTTGCAAGCTCTATCAAATATGCCACAACTTTATTCACAAGATAATTTATTAAATAGTGGAACAAAACGTATACATTTTCAACGAACACCATCAATGCCAACATTTCTTTTATGTTTTGTTATTGGTGAATTTGATATGATTAAAGCTGAACCTGTTGAACGATTGAATAAAGATAATGGGTAAATTTAAAAAAAATTAATATTTATTTATAAACTATTTGCTTTTAGATTATCTCCAATTGAACTTACAGCATATACATTACCTGGTAGAAAACATGAAGCAACATTTGCATTAAATTGTGCTCATAAAGCTTTACATTATTATGCTGATTTATTTCAAATTGATTATCCTATGTCAAAACTTGATCTTGTTGCTGTACCTGATCTTTTTTATCCAGCTATGGAAGATTGGGCACTTATTCTTTTTAAGGTTAGATTATTAGATAATTCAAAATTGAAATAGTTCAAAATAAGAATTTTTATTTTGTTTTGAACATAATTTAGAAAGTCATGTAGAAATTGATGATTATATTTTTGTATATGTTATATGTTAAGGATTCGTTTTTTTTTATATGTAAAATGTAAAACGAAACTATGAAAAAAATATTGAACCACTGTTTATCGAACGAAGGAAGTCTCCTATCTGATAAACTGCTTTTGAATTGAGACTACGTACATTATGTAGAACTAAATGAACTATGAATATCCTAAAAATAAAAGTTCGTGTCCTTAGCTTATTGCTGCGGAAATAATACACTTTTACTGTATTTTTTTATATAAATGTCATGGTCCAGAAAAACTGATTTTCGAATTTCAGCTTGAAATTTTGCATAGAGACAATCCTTAACGAGAATAGTTTTTTTTTTACAAATATTGCAGAACTTTTGTTTTTCCTATCTTAAGATACAATCATAGTAAAAGTGTGTCTTGTACATCACTAATATATTAACGACAGATTCGATGTTCTTATTTCAGAATAGAAGCAAATAAAAAGACTTGAAACTTTCACAATAAACTACTCTCATTACGATCTATCTCTGTACAAATAATCAATTAGAAGACTTTCTTTATCAGTATCGGCTTATGTCTCTATATGGAAAAATCTGTTTTTAAGTAATAGATTTTAATAATAAGAGAAAAATTTGATAGACTGATTATTACCTAATGTAGTCAAAAGAATCTTTTTATCAATATAAAAGATTCTTGTTTCCATTCTAAACTGAAATAACAAAATCTTATTCTTAAATTTTTGTTTATATTTATCTATCTTTTTCTTTTTAGGAAGAAGAAATGTTAATAAATGAAGATCATGCTGTTAGTATACAATATCGAAATGTATGTCAATCAGTAACACATGAAATAGCTCATCAATGGTTTGGTAATTTAGTAAGCATTCATTGGTGGAATGATGTATATGTTGTTGAAGGTTTGTTATTAATTTTTATTTTTTAATTAATTTAATTTTTTTGTAAATTAGGTTTTGCCAAATGGTTTGAATATTTGGCAACAGATTATATTGTTCCTGAATATAATGTATTTTCAGAATTTTTTTCTACACAATTTGTACGATATTTTGATTATTGTATTAATATTCTTCATAATGAAGCAGATGATATTGATGAAAAAGATTTTTCATTTGAAGGTTTTATTTATTCAAAAGGTTCATGTTTAATGCGTATGTTACATTTATTTGTTGGACAAACTGATTTTCTTGATTCAATTCGACTTTATTTACAACGATATTCATATCGTACAGCAACTGCAATTGATTTTTGGGCATGTGTTGAAGAAATAACAAAATTACCAATAAGTAAGAAGATTATTCTTTTTTTTTTGTTTACAGATTCGATTCTTTTTCTTTATTTAATATAGAAAAATTAGTTCATAGTTGGTGTACAAAAAAAAGTTATCCTGTTGTACAAGTCAAAATGATTGGATATGATGAAACAACAGGTAAAAAAAAAAAAAAAAAAAAAAGAAGCCCTCGACTTCTTTTTTTGTTGTATTTAAGAATACCGCCCGATAAGATCATAAATATGTCATCCTCTTAGATTTTACTTTCAATAGGTTAAAAAGATAGAGAATGAAATTCTGTACACTTTTAAATAATAACTATATGTTATCTCTCATTTTTTTTTTTGTATTATAAACCTAATATGAAAACAAATACTGTAGATCAACATAGTTTTTCATGTTCTATCTTTCTATTCTATTAAATGTAAGATCTGAAAAGAATAATAGATTTACGATTTTATCTGGTGATGTTCTTTATAGGAACTTATGATTTGGAATTAAAACAAATGAGTTTTTGTCGTGGTCATGATCAAGAAAAAAAACCAATTGATAAAAAAATTTCTTGTCATTGTATTAAAACAAGTGATCTTATATGTGATACAAAACATAATATAGATCTATATCAATCAATTGATAATAATGATAATGATGAAAATTGGATTATACCAATAACAATATTAAATAATCAATCAAATTATTGTTTAACAAAATATTTAATGACAAAAAATCAAGAAATTATACATATTAATATAAATTCATCTTTATCAATAGAAGAACAAAATAATGATAATGAACCATTAATAAAAAAACGTCGATGTTTATTATTAACATCAAATTATTTTAAATTAAATATATGTTCAGGTGGTCCATATCGAGTATTTTATTCATCAGATATGTTAGAACAATTAATACAAGCTATTATAAAACAAGAATTAAATATATTTGATAGATTTAATTTAGAAAATGATATGTATGCATTATCAATGGGTGGTTTTACATCTTTAGTTGATTATTTACATTTACTTTTAAATGCTTATATGAATGAATTAGATGATGAACTTGTTTGGAAAGATATTGAAAGTAATATTATTCGAATTGGAACATTATTAGAATATGATAAACAATTATATGATTTTTATCGAAAATTTGTTATTTTTTTTCATCAAAATTTATATCAAAGAATTGGTTTAATATCAAATAATAATGAAGATGAATCAGTTGCACGAAGTCGTTTAAGATGTTTTTTATTGGTTATTTTAGGTAATATTTATAAACGTTGATTTTTCATGTATGAAATCAAATGTAATTTTTTACTGAAGTCAGTTCCAAACTTTCTATTATGTTGAAGAATATAAAGTTTTAACAGGACGTCTTCTATTGTGGTCAATCGATTTTTATAATTTCTAATTAAAATGTTTTCTTTTTTCCAGAAAAACAAAGCAATTTTGCAGATTTAACAAATGATTTTTAGGTTTTAGAAGTTCAGAAATACATTGACCATAATCTTTTAAGATTTTCAGCTCGAAATCCTGAAAACTACAGCAGCTGCCGAGATTCATTAAGATTTTTCTATCAGTCCAATTGTATACGTTATCATCAAACTAAAGAAATTAAGAGGATGAAGACTGACTCTTCAATACTATAATTCTCTTTTGATACAGTTAAAATATATTATATGTTATCAATAGATAAGTATGATGGTTTAAATAAATTCCGGTAGTCCCTCGAAAACTATCCATACTTTAATGTAAATATCCTAACTACAATTTCAATATTTTTGAAAAATCAATTAATTAAGGTAGGAGAGGGGGGGGAGTCTTCTGTTATGTCCAATCAAATCTTCTATTGCGGAGAGGATTTTAGGATCTATTAGAATATACTAGAATCTATCAAAGTACAGTAGAGACTACTGAATTCTACGAGAATCTTAGAACATCAGAGTATTTTTTTTGGTTTCTTGTCTGAAATTCTAAAAGTCGATTTTACTTGTTGTTTCTTTTAGTATTTTCTTTGAATTCATACAAATTTTATTATATTCTGCGATTTTTGAGGCTCAATTATATTCCATAGGATCTTTTTTTTTGAGAAACACGATCTAAAAAACCAACATTGAAGTATAGATGTAGAAATTTGAAACTTTCCTCCACAGACTGTGACAAACGCTGATGATATACGATCATATACTGTATATGAATAAAGTCTCATTATAATATATAAACTACTGTCTTATTGCATTTCTAGAAGATTAAATAAAATGATAATGAAGAAATATGTCTCAAAATAGATAGAATAAAATAAAACAATCTCCCTATGATTAGTAACAGCAGCTACATCGTGTTTCACATTTTAATCCTGTAAGCACTGCACTAACATTTCTTTTTTTTTTTTCTCTTTACAACGACTAATCTATAAATAAAAAGATATCAGAATATTGTCATGCCTAACTTGGTGAAATATAATTGCCAGCTTCTAGACAAAACATCAGTCTTCTCGTTTTTTTTTGCTCATATTACAAAAAAAAAAAAATGACAGTTAGTATACTTCCGCAAAGTCTCGGATGACAATTTCAAGATGTTTATCATTTCTACTTATTTCCCTCATTAAAATCTTACTGTAAATTTTCTCGTTTATAATAATAATAAATACATTATGTTTATATATTATTCTTTCAAGGTACAATTGGTTATGATCCAACTATAATATCAAATGCTCGTGAACAATTACTTGTATATTTAAATGATCAATCAGTAACTGTTCTTTGGCCAATATGTGCAATAGTAGCTCATCATGCATCTGAAATTGATTTAAATAATTTATTTAAATTATGGGAACAATGTCCACGTCGTGATGATCGTCTTCGTTGTGCATATGGTTTATCATATGTACAAGAATCATCTCAAATTGAACGTGTTTTAAATTTATTTACAATAAATAGTTCAACAAATAATAATTCAATACGTTTACATGAACGTATTGAATGTTATAAAGGTTTTTGTTTAAGTAAACAAGGTCGATATTATTATCAACGATATATTGAAGATAATTGGTTATTATTAAGAACAAATTATAATGATGAATATCTTGAAGCACTTATACGTGAAACATTTGGTTATTTTTCAACAAAAGATGAAGCATTACGTATCGAAGAATTTTTTCTTTCATATGAAACATTTGAACAAAAATATAAAATAAATTTTAAAGAAACACCATCAACACCATGTACACGTATAGCTGTACATTTATGTTTAGATGATAATGAATTATTAACAATTAATAAAAATAATTTATCATCACCGCCTATATATAATCATCATCATCATCATCATTCAATTATTCCAAATAAAGTTAAAGAAGTTGCTTCTATTATAGCACATACAACACGTACACGTGCTGCTTTACTTGAACGTGATCATGATGATTTACTTGCATTTTTTCAATCAGATTCTTTTTCAATATCATCACCTACTTCAAATGCATCAAGTCAGATTCTTTCAATTAATACAACAAATATAATATCATCTTCTTCATCAATAACAACCACAACAAGTGGAAATAAACGAAAACGACGAGTTTCTTCATTAAATACTAGTAGTTCATCTCCACCTGTACGGAATTTATTAGCATCGGATACAAGTGCTTAATATAGAAAAGTCAATTAATTTTCCTTTTCTTTCAGTCTGTGTATGCGTGTGTGACAATTGTCACATAGGTTCTCATTCTTTTTTTCTTTCTTTCTTTCTTTCTGTCTATTCGTTCTTTTTACTTCTTGTTTTTTTTTTTTCTTTGGTGAATCTATGTGCTATGTGATTCTTCGTTATTATTATTATTATTATTATTATTTTTTTGTTTTTTTTTTTTTTTCAAAACTGTATTTCTGTTAAAACGAAGATATTAATAAACAAAAACCGATATGAGTCTTTATATAATTATCAACAATGGAACTAATTTTTTCCAATGATATCTGAATTATAACCAATATATTATTCTGTCAGTTTGTTTATGTCAAGAATATAAATGGAAATATGTTAGAAACAACAACTATTATTTTCTCAAATTAGCTCTACGTGTGGGTTAGACAGATATATCGTATCGAATTGATTTGTCTAACAGATATAATATAATAAAAACAAATGGGAATTACGATCGTATGATCCTTCTAAATTTAGTAGTCTGTAAGTAAGAAAATACTTGAATAAATAGAAAGTTGAATATAAATATAAATCTATACATATATGGTAGGTTAATGAATGATGATATCAATGAGTAAATTATTTTATTACAAAATATAAATCGATAAATTATTGATTAACATTTGCTATTGATGGGAAGATAATATAAGTCTTTAATATAGATATAGGTTTAATTGTATTAGTGAACCATATCAATAGCATCACTTATTGAAAAAAAAAAATTATTTTACGCATAATTAATTCGATGACTTTTAATAACAACTTTCTTCCATTTTCTTTCTATGAATATCTATATTCGATATGATATAATTTCTTAATATCAGATAGATATACGTCTTTGATTGATACTTGTATTTTTCGTTTGTTCTAGTTAAATTTTTTATTGAAAAAAAAAATTTTGTTTTTGCATATTTTTACTTTTAGTGTTGAATAATAAAGAATAGGACGAAAAAAAAAACAATGAATTAGATATGAGTCAATATATTTCTATTTACCTGGAGAACAGTAAAATAGGAATGTTTTCTTTTTGATTAAAAATAGAAGATACCTTGAAATAGAGTTTAATATTGTCTTCAACTTTTCTCTTTCTTAAAATAGCATCAGCTTAAAAATGGAAATAAGGCGAAAGTAATTAGAACGCGTGATCTAATGTCAACATATATGGAAATAAATAAAAAAAAAACAAAGAATGCATTTAGTAAAAACGTACTGTTTTTTGTTTTTTCTTTCGTATTAATCATTGAAAGAAACATTAGACTATGTCAAATGTTGCATTTTCTTTTTCTTTTCGAGCAGTCAACACACAATAGAATCGAATAAATACTTCGTTCTTTTTTTTCTTTTTCTTGGCATTTTATGATCTGATTGTAGGTATAAACGATTTAAGGGATAATTATCTTTATATGTAACTATTTTCTTTGTGTCTATTGTGGTATGTTAGTATATATCATCAACCACATATTGTATATTTCAACAACGTCATTTTATTGATTGACTGTATGCTAGAAAATGTCGGTCATATTCATTTTGTTTATAGTGATATAGAAAAATCTGTGTAAAGTTTTTAGTTTTTTTATTGTTGATTGAGATGTGAAGCAAAGAAAAAAAAAAAGAAGATAAAATTTTGATGTCTTTTTTCTCTCTCTTTCTCTCGATTTCTTGCTCTTATGATGCTTCTTGTAGCAATAAAGAGCACCTTACATGTACATACATGCTTCGAATGAAAGCAAACATTTACATGAATAGAAGAGTGGTTTGAAGATAAATTTGTTTTTCCTCAGTTGTTTTTTCTAATTTAAAAAAAAATAGAGTGAATTGATTTAACAATAGTATTTTTATCTATTGACGAAGTTTAATAGATGTAAATATTATTTTCTTCTTTTATCCTTCGTCAATTGATGTATTTTCATGTCTTATTAATTTCCTTTTTTTTTTTATTTATATCTATTAGATTAATCCTCACATGAAATATGTAATAATAAAAATTAAATAAGAAGAATTATATTCATTATCATGCGACGACATTCAATAGATCCTGAGAGTATACGAAAACAGATTATTTCTGTATTCACTCCATCATCCCGGAAACGTCAAAATTCGGCAAATAGTAATCAAAATAACCATGGCATATTCAATTTCGCTCGACGTACACGTCGTTTTAGTGTGCCAAATAAAAAATATTTAGATGTATCTGATAACAATCCTGAACTTCACACGATTGATGAAGTAAGTGAATTGATTTTCATATTGATTTGCTTATTGCATGCTATGCTATGGTATTTGCTAACACTGCTTGAAATCAATTTTCAATATTTAGAATTGAAGAAAAAAAAAAAAGAAAAAGAAAACAAACCAAACTCTTATATTTTTTTGTTTCTGTTAAAAAAAAATACTATTCAAATCGAATATGATTTTATTGATTTGCTTTGAGTAACTATTGTGTCTATTATGATTATTGTTATTCAAAAAGAAAAGAATAGTAGTCGTCTAAAGGCTTACATGTTGGTTGATGTGTGCAGAAACGAGAAAAAAAGTAAAGGCACTATGTTAAGACGACGGATGTCTTTTGTGTTCTCGCTTACAATTGGTCATATATGAGAGAAAAATTCATTAATAAATTTGTCGACAGTTGATAATATGGTTTTCTTTTTTTTACGACATAGAATTATATTTTGAGCAATGTTGACATACTATCAATAAACTATATTTCTTTTCGAGATCCGATCCAATGAAATTATTGTTTTCAGTCGATACCGACTTATGAATGATGACGTCAACAGAAATAGACAAAAAGAAAAAAGGAACAAGAAAAAGAATTAAATAAATGAAAAAATATCCTTAACACAAGTGTTCGATACGGAAGCATAAAAATATGCCATCGAAAATAAGCAGCTGTGTGTGTATTATTGTGCACAGAAAATATATACGTCATTATTAATGTACTTTAAAAAAAGAAAGTTGTTGTCACGAGCGAACATAATTTTCTCGTATTTTTATTTGGTGCCTACATTCTTTTTCTTTATGAGATAAAAAAAAAAAAAAAAAAAAGAAAGACAGCAACGATGACAACGACGCTCGCAGGCAAACTCTCTTGCTTTTTCAAAGTGACAAGGAGTAGTAGTAGTGTTCAAGTATGGAGAGAAAGACATATAGAGAAAGAGAGCGAAGAAAAACGAGATGAAATTTACAGTTGTTTTACAATAAAACGAATACATACAATCTAGACAGCTTTTTTTGTCTATCTACATTTGGTCTTTATCATATTATAATAATTCAGATTGTTTATTAAATATTTTATTAACAAATATTATCAAATGATCCAATAATGACATGTGATAGACGAAATACTCTATTTGCTCCTGTAAATACATTAAATATAACGACAAACGATCGAATACGACGATATTCAATACATGATAAACAAGATCTTGAAACAATTTATGAGGTAAATAAAAATCATCATTACAAAGAATACCTTTATTTTTTATTGATCATCATATGGTTGACTAATTATCTTGATTTATATATCTAAAAAAATTTCAAATGATCGTTGTTTTATTTTTATGAATACGTGGTAAAAAAAAAAAAAACTTATTAGTTATTCATCCAAGTAAAAAAAAATATAAAGCAAAAATGATGAAATAAAAGTTAAATAAGTAACAAAAGGTTAAGCAGTAAAACAGAGTGTATATATATGTTTGTTTGTAATAAAACATTTGTTTGTCATGTAAATTTACACATTACATTCGTAGTAAATAACACAACTATTAATGAAGGATTAGACGTCAATTTCCTTTTATGTAAATGAATTAGTTAACAAAAATTAAATTCTTTTTCACTGCGTGATATAAGACATGTAATTATTCGTATCGGTCAGACAAAATTTTGTTTTTGTATATCGAAAATATATTCATCCTGAGTGACATTTATATTTTATTATTATTCTCATTCGTAATTCATAGAAAATTGAAGCAAAAAAAGAACATCGATTTACTGAGTTATTATTATGTTATATAGTCAAAAAAAAAAGAAATATTATCATTAAAAAACAAATAGATAAAATAAAGTCATCTTGTTTTGTAGGCTTATCAATGAATAGTTATCAACTTCATTTCTATGTTTCGTAAAAGTGAAAATGATATTGTTATCAAAATGAATTAGATGTAACCAATAGTTTTGTTTTTTTTTTTTCATTTTTTGAATATAATCAATAAAAGATAAACATAGATAATACTATTTGAAATAGATCGTTTGGATCTGTCTGTTAGTCATTTATTTTATTTGAATGTCAAATCTAATAAGTTTTGATTTGTCTAAGTTATGAATATATGTAATTTAAAATTAATTTGGTCTTATTAATTGTAAATTTTATTCAACCGGAATTTTTTGTTTTTTTTATTAATCGTGTCTTATTAATCAGATTTATGCATCTTCTTGTTTAGTGATAATTTAGTCATCATTGAACATTGTTCTATTTTAAATTCAAATACGATAAATGATATTATTTGTATTCAATCTATTTAATTGATATCTTATATAAAATCTAGTTTTTTTTTTCCCCCGTTGTTGGAGATTTGTCTCTTGTATACTTTTTTCAATTATCTCATATAACATAGATCTTGATAAGCTATTTGCTTTCTTTTTTTGAAGATTTCTATTAATATCTATTTGACTATTCTTCTATTACTAATGTAAAACAAATTCCCAAGAGATAGACTAAGACTGGCTAATTCTTGAAAACAACTGCGTTACTTCTTGTTAAACTCTAAAGAGAAATTTTTGTTTTGCCTCTGAAGATTATTCACAGGTTTAGCCTTGAAATTAGTATCGAATAAATGTGTTGAGATCTATCTGTATTGTATTCTAACAGTAGAGATTTCTTTCCCATTTAATGTGTAGAATAAAAATTTTTATGTTTGGTTGTTTTTTTTGAAACGTTAGAATCATCCATT